GATGCAGTTTAGACTCGAGAACCAGTCTAAATTGGTGGCTAGCCACAAACTAGCAACAAACATCGATTTGGTGGGATTAAAGTTGGGGAGAAGCTCGACAAACGAGCTGATCACAGACTAATGAAGTTCGATCTTTGTATATCTTCACATCGATCGGGGGATCTGTTAATATGAAAAGATGCTTTTCGAACGATTCTCTGCTATTTCTTGTTTTTTGCTGATCTCCTCTTGCTCGAAGTTGTGAAAGTACCCATGTGATTTTTACTGCTTCGTTTTTTAGAAAGGCGACAGTTTGTTTCCATGCCCGCTTCTTCGTGCAGCAGTAACATGTCTCTGCAATTTGTTGCACGAGTGCCATATCTGACATTATCTGAAATTTTAAAGATCGTCACTTCTTTCTCGCTGCTTTTGCCTGGGATAACTTGTCTTCTGATTGTGGTTGGGAACATCGCAGTGGTTTGTTGGGCCAAAGGGGGCTACTGGCGGGTGGGGAGTGTGCAAATGAGCACAAGATTGCCTTCGGGTGTTAAATATGCAACACGGGCCATGAAATATGCAACGCCAGCAGCAGCAGCACAGTCAGATACATAATCAGAAATATCAGTAACAGTAAGTGCAGAAATACATGAAGCAGCAACAGCAGCCAACGTAGCTGCAATAAAAGCAACGTCTCTAGCACGAAACTGCAGCAACATCAGAAATATCTACGGAAAACAAGCTGCAACATCACAGATACAATACAAAACATAGGTATGTCTGCAGCATAAGCCTCTCATAAGCTGCAGCAGTACAATGAAAAACTCAGCAGCAGCAACGGCAGTTATAAAATTAGAGGGGAGGCTAAACAAGTGACAAACCCGCAGCAACATCAGCAACAACTGCAGCAGCAACTGCAACATCAGCAGCAACATTGACAACAGCAGCAACATCCATAATAATGATGGCCAGCAGAAGTAGCGGCAGCAGAAGAATCACGAAAGCTTCTTGGCAGTTGCCTTCCACGTCTCTTTCTTCTCCGGTTTCAACGCCGACTTTCTCCGTTGTTCTTGCACGTTCTGCCTGCTCCCATTTCACACTGATTGCAGGGGGAAAGGGGGGTAGGGGAGGCGGAGAAAGAGGCGGAAAGGGGGCGGAGAGGTCGCCGGCAACTTTGTTGGCCGAGCAATTGTCGCTGCTGCTGCTGTTGCTGCTGCTGTTGCTGTTTTTCTGCTGCTTTTGGAACTTGTTTTTTGTTCGTGTCCGTAGGTTCATGTTTTGTAGGTGCCACCTATGTATGTTGTTGTTGTTGCTGGCTTCGTCAGGTGCGTTGACAAGTGGAAATGCTTGCCCGTGCATTGCTCTCATTGCAGCGGCAAATATTTATACTGCCCCGCCCTGCCCCTGCCCCTGCCAACCGCCCTCTTTTCGCCCAAACGCTAAACGCCCAGCCACCCCGCCAGCCAACGCCCCCCTCCAGCCCCTCGTCGTGATTGCGATACAGGAACAGAAATTATAGTGTTGCAGCAGTACGAATTCAGGGCGGCCACCTTGACTCCCGGTTTTCTATATCATATCGTGATAATGCATATGCATTATAATGCAATCATGCACATTAGTGGGCTTCTAAGTGCTGCTTGAGCTGAAAAATATTATTACGTTCAGTATCAATATATATATTTAAATATAAAATTTGAATATGCAAGCGGACTCTGCTGGTCTTTCAGTGTAAGCTTCTCCCGGTTCTTGTCCTCGTTTTTTTGCGATCCGTCACTGCCCCCTCCCCTTCTCCTTCACTTGTTTATTGTTTTCGTCGATTAATCAGCGCATTTAATATGCGGCAAACGCACTGCAACAGCAACAACAACGGCAACCATATAGGAGGAGTCATGGAGCCCAGGCACGAATAATATAGCTAAAGCCGGAGTTCAGACAAGTTGGGTCCAAGCCAACTAACCTGTTGCTTTCACAGCGTTTTCCCCTCGCACCTCTGCTGTTTTTTTCTCTTTTTGTATTTAGCGCGTTTGCTGCCTTCCCTCTTTTTCGTTTAGCGCCTTTCCGCTTCCGTTTTGTAAATAATTTATTTTGAATTTCTCGATGGTATATAATTATGCTCGTTTTTGCTTTGTTTGACTTCCTCTGCAAGGTTTTGGGCTGCATTTCAACAAAAGCACAAAAACCGAAGTGGTGAATTTGCATTTTCGCTTTGAAACCATGCATGGAACTAAAAGCCGTAGATATGAAATGCTGGAAAATTCCACCATGAAGCCAAAAAGTTCTCAAAACTTTCTCCAAAACTACAAATATATAATTCACCGGTAACTAGTAGTACTTCCCGAACATGGGACTTATCCCCCTGGAATGTCGTAATTCAAAATGAAGCAATTCAGGGGGTAACTTATAGTTCCTAACTAGCTTTCTGTAGTTGTGCAATGACACATAAATCTATGAAAATGAACCCTTTGTGCACTCAAGTCGACTCAGAACCCCATGAAAAATCCGACCCAGTCACACAGTACTGGGGCGTTTATCAGTTTTCTGCTCAAAAACCGCAATGAACTCGTTGCGCGATCAACCATTAACCGATAACAAACAACAGCGGCGATAATGGTAACTGGGAAGCACTTGGGCAGCTAGGGGTTAACATGGAACACAAGTTCGAATAACTATGAGAAAACTTAAGTAAACCTTGGGGAATTGAACCCTGCTCCCAGGGTTTTGTAAGTGTTGGCTGGGGGTACTTCAAATTAAACAGGGACATTCTTTTGTTCAAGGGTAGTTTGGAATAATGTTTCCTGTACTGTTCAATCACTTTGAATACTCATTTTATTCAACCATATTTGTTTGCATCCAGCTGGCTAAGCGAATCCAATTCCATTTGAGTCCCCGAGAGCAGATCGGTTGCATCGGGCAAACGCCCCTCGCAAATCATTCGATCGACGCCCCCTTTTAGGTTCATGCACCCATCCCCCTACCCACCCCCGCCACCATTTACAGTTGGCTGAATCTTTTATGCAACAGACACAGAAATTGGAAAAAGCTGAGGAGGGGGCAACTAAAACACAAATACGAGTGGAAACCGCAGGCAGCGCAGATTCGTTTTGTTTGCTAAAACTGCGTCACGTTGCAAGTCTGCCTCCTCCTCCTCGGCATCTCTGAGTTTCAGCTACTGCTGCCGAGATTTGCGTAAACAAAATCGGTTTTATTATAAATTTTTTCTTTTTCCGGCGCTGCTGTGTTGTGTAACCCGAGGGACAAATGATGTCAAAGCACTGGCAAACTTTTGTGCGGAATGTGCACTTGCAAGGGAAAATCAAGACAATTCAGACAATAAAACATATGAGCTAGCAACTTATTTTGATGAATATATTAATAAGAAAGCTGTGTTTGAACAGCGATTTCATTTCAATCAAATAACAGTTGGTTGGCACTAAAAATCGCTCTACTTCTCTGCGGCTTTTATTTTAAAATGCCAATAATTTGATTGCAGCATTTTCTAATTAATACTTTTTGTCGGGCTTAAATGTTTTCTGCGAGTGTATCCATATAACTTGTTGCTGCTGACAGGATGATGCAGCAACTGCTCTTGCCACGTGAGCGTTGTGCAAGAAGTCCTTGCCAGGAGCCGAACTGGTCCACGAGAGAGCAATCGAATTTGTGGGCTGGCTGGGAGGGCCGAGGAGGCAGAAGAGACTTGGAAACTGGGCAACCTTCGATTTGACCTTCGCTGCCTCCGCCGGCGACTTTTGCCTTCGCGTTGACCTCCATTGGCTGCTTGCCTTTCCATTTCAATTTCGGTTTTCAACTGGTGTTCAGGTTTTTCTCTTTGCTCCGCTTTGCATAATTTATTGCATTTATTTCACTTCATATTATTTTCATTTCATTTACTGCTGGCGCCGCCTCAAGTTTCGCCATAAATTTCCCACCGCACGTCTCAGTTTTCATCGCGTGTGTCCCTAATTTTAGCATTGATTGCCCCTCACTCCTCGCCGATGTCCAGTTAGCTTTCCCAAGCTGACCACGCCCACGTGACCCTTCCGCTAGGAAGCCCAGGAAACCAGCCGTTCCTTTCCTGCTGTATATAATTGCCCGGAGTGCGTGGGTGAGGGTCCTTCTTTCGCCTCTGGCTCTTAACGCCCTTCACTCCCATTCATATCAAATGTCCTTTGACGTAAATTAATTAGGTTATGTGAATAGGTGAAGAAGTAGCAATCGATGTTGGGAGGTTGCTATAGACCTACCTAGTTAACTGCTTCTATTTTTAGTTGCCTAACTACGGGCAAGTCAGCCGACGTGAATGGCATGGAACTCAGCATGTGTTTGCCATAATGATGTTATGCCATCGCATCACGTTGCGATGAGCAAGTTCTAAGGGAACCATAGCTCTCACAATTAAATTACAAAATTAGATGATGCTTTATTTTAAGATAAGTCACACATTAAATTCACCCATTTAAGCTGATGCATCGTTTACAACTTTCGAAAGCATCATGGCTTCGCAAACACATTAATGAATTTCTTGGCCTGAAGTGGATACATCTCAGTCATGATTCCACTTCCCTGTCATCTACATCTCTACCTACACTCCCTGTCCACCCATTCACTTAGTCATCTTCATCGTTGTTGGCCAATTCCCATAATGTGTTCCTTTTTTTCGGCGCTTTCTTTGCCGCTTTGTTGGGGGCGTTGACAAGTCGCAAATGGCGATGTGAGTGCAGTGCACAGATACAGATTCTATAGGCCATACAGCCATATATGAGTGGGTCCCGAGCAGAATGAGAAGGTAGAACTGCGTTCAGTTGCATTTTATCGGCTAGATTGCGAGGTGGCGAAATTGCCTGACATCGAAAAAGGTGGCAACAGGAAATTTTCCTTGACAAAGAGGCGGAAGAACAACGTACACAAAGAACAATGATCTCCTTAGTCATAAGAAGACTTTTTAGAAAAGGTGTACAATAAGCTTAAGCGGTGCGATACCAAATGAATTGCTAACTAAAACTGTTTGTTTCCTGCGCATCTTTCAGATTGCGATTGCGGCTGCGTAGACTCATATAACTCCAGCCACGGCCCGCCAGTGCAGCAGGACTCTTCAGCAGCAGCGGGAGCGGGATCTGGAGGATCGAAAGCGGGATCGGGGCCAGGACCAGGACCAGACGGATTCGGGCGTATCAGCAGCCTCAAAACGGCGCACACAAAGGTCGCCACCTCGGGGGGTCATGCCAACACGCAGCCCCCCAGCAAAAGATCGAGCAGTGGAGCGGATGGCGACTACCAGCTGGTGCAGCACGAGGTGCTCTACTCCCTGTCGGCGGAGTATGAGGTGGGTTCTGGCTTACTTAATGTACATTTTCGGATAATAACAGCCGCTTTCCCGCTTATAGGTCCTGGAGTTCTTGGGCCGCGGCACCTTTGGCCAGGTGGTCAAGTGCTGGAAGCGCGGCACCTCCGAGATCGTGGCCATCAAGATCCTGAAGAACCATCCCTCGTATGCGCGGCAGGGCCAGATCGAGGTCTCGATCCTTTCGCGCCTCAGCCAGGAGAATGCCGACGAGTTCAACTTTGTGCGGGCCTTTGAGTGCTTTCAGCACAAGAACCACACCTGTCTGGTATTCGAGATGCTGGAGCAGAACCTGTACGATTTCCTCAAGCAGAACAAGTTCTCGCCGCTGCCTCTCAAGTACATAAGGCCCATTCTGGAGCAGGTGAGTCACAATATCTAAAAGCCACCGCAATTCCTTGACTAATTCGCTACTTCTCACCTCAGGTATTGACTGCCCTGTTGAAGCTGAAACAACTGGGTCTGATCCATGCCGACCTGAAGCCCGAGAACATCATGCTGGTGGACCCAGTGCGTCAGCCCTACCGCGTCAAGGTGATCGACTTCGGTAGCGCCTCTCACGTGAGCAAGACGGTCTGCAACACGTACCTGCAGTCGCGGTACTATCGAGCTCCCGAGATCATCCTGGGACTGCCCTTCTGTGAGGCCATCGATATGTGGTCCCTGGGCTGCGTGGTGGCAGAGCTCTTCCTCGGCTGGCCGCTCTATCCGGGCAGCTCGGAGTTCGACCAGATCCGCTACATCTCACAGACACAAGGCCTGCCCACGGAGCACATGCTGAACAGTGCCTCGAAGACCTCCAAGTTCTTCTACCGCGACGTGGACTCGACGTATCCCTTCTGGCGGCTGAAGACCACCGAGGAGCATGAGGCCGAGACAAACACCAAGAGCAAGGAGGCGCGCAAGTACATCTTCAACTGTCTGGATGACATTGGGCAGGTGAATGTGCCCACTGACTTGGAGGGAGGTCAGTTGCTGGCCGAAAAGACGGACAGGCGGGAGTTCATCGATCTGCTAAAGCGCATGCTGACCATTGATCAGGAGCGGCGACTCACGCCCGCAGAAGCGTTGAACCACTCGTTTACACGGCTGACCCATCTGGTTGACTATGTCTACTGCAACAATGTCAAGGCATCCGTGCAGATGATGGAGGTGTGCCGCCGAGGCGATTTCCACACGTAAGTAGAAAAACTAGGCAGCAAATTATTCTATTATATTAACCGAATTCCCTCGCAGAGTGCAACCCGCGTCGACGCTGGTGACCAACTTTGTGCCCTCGAGCACGGAGAACATGACGTTCACGATCAACAACCAGTTGACCAGCCAGGTGCAGCGCCTTGTGCGCGATGGCCGTCCACTGGCCTACGAGGGACTCTACCAGATATACAACGGACGCAGTGTGGCGCGACAGTATCCGCAGACCAGGACGGATAGCTTCCAGCATCAGCTGGTCTCGAACATCCTGTGCCCGCCCTCGTACCAGACGATGCCCAGTCCCACTAAGCATGTGGTGGTGGGCAGTGCCAGCATGCAGCCACCGTTGCAGGTGCCGCCGCAGCAGTACGTCAATGTGCCCGTGCCGGTTTCCATGGTGGAGCCAACTTCTGGTCAGAGAATGCTCCTAACGAATCGTGTGCAGGCCAGCGGAGTAGCCTGGCCACAAACTGGAAGACAGATGGCCTTGGTGCCGTCGTGGCCCCAGCAGGCGCCCGCCCACTCGCTCATCGTGGACTCGACGCCGCTTTTCAATGTGGAGGAGATCTATCCCAAGCACCACCTCAACTTGCCACGCAACGATCTCAAGAAGGAGTCGCCGGCTCATCATATCGCGTGAGTGTTAGCTGGTAACTCCTTGAGGAAATCCCCTCCTTATGTTCGCCTTACCTCTTTTCAGCAAGGGCAACTCTTATCGCGTGCCGCGCCACGAGAAGAAGGAGCACCAGCAGCTGTCGCCGGTGAAGAAGCGGGTGAAGGAAAGCTCGCCGCCCCACCAGCAGCGGTACCAGCGCGCAGCTCACGTTTCGCCCCAGTACCACACGCATCACAACTGCAACTACGGGAATGGCAGTGGCTACAGCGCCAGTGCCGGATCGGTGGTGGCTTCCTCGGCTGCCTCCGCTAGCAGTGAGTCCAGATGCAATATGAAACTTCCCCAGACCATTCTCATTTCTATTTGAAACTTTTGAACTATTGAAAATAATGCTTGGTATCCACTAATTTGATATTTTCCTTCTCCCTCAGACATTGTGAATGGAAGCTCGTCGAGCTCGCACCATCATCACGTCCCCGTCGCCCATACCCAGCCCTACAGCAGCTCCTCAGGTCACCACATTGTGAGCAACTGCAACGCCAACGGAGGAGCCGGTGGAGCAGTGGTTTACCAACAGCCCCCGGCACATGCCCACCAGCAGCATGGACAGCAGCCGCATCCGCATCCGCAGAGCTCGCAGCATCCGCAGCATGTGAAGCAGCCGACGATAACCATCCACGACACGCCCTCGCCCACGGCTGTGATAACGATCTCGGACAGCGAGGACGAGGGCGGAGAGGCTGGAGGAGCCCAGGTGCCGGTGCTGAAGCAACGGGCGCATGCCCAGTCGCAGACCAGCAGCAGTCTGCTACAGCACGCGCCAAGCTCCTCCTGTAGCAGGAGCAGTGCCCACCAGCAGCCGCATCCACATCCCCAGCAGCAACAGCAACAGCAGCAGCAGCAGCAGATAAACTATGGTAATGCTCAGACTCAGAATCAGAATCAGAATCCAAATCCGATTCAGAACCAACTGGGAAGCAACAGCGGCAAGGGTAGCCAGCATAGCAGTAGCCATAGCAGTAACAGTAGCCACAGTAGCAGTAGTCACCACAACCACCACCACCCTCATCATCTGAATCCGTCTCATCATCTGAATCCGCCTCATCAGCCAGCGAGTGGAAGTGGAATAGGAACGGGAGCGGGTTCGGCAGCGGGATCGGGATCGCAGCTTCAGCATCAGCTTCAGTCACAGCCTCCGACTCATACTCAGCCGGCGACGCATCCTCATTACCAAGCCACGTCCACGTCCTCCTCCACGTCTGCTTCCACTTCCAGTCACCATCAGCATCATCCCCATCATCCCGCCCCCACTTCCTCCTCCTCAGCCATGTCCTCCTCTACCGCTCAGTTTGGTGCCCCTGTCCTCTGCCCCAGTTCCTCCCAATCTCAGTCGCATCTCAGTCGCCATAAGTCATCGCACGTCCAGCTAGTAATTCCATGCGTAACCGTAGGTGATCATGATCCGGAAGATGCCCGCCGTCGTCATCATGCCGCCGCCGCAGCCGCCGTGGGAAGTCCCAAGCATCACCACCACCAACAGCAGCAACCAGCTCCTCCTCCACAGCAGCAGCAGCAGCAGCAGCAGTACCAACCGCAGCCACCGCCGCAGCAGGTGCTGCCCCAGCCCCAGCCGAGCATCAAGTATGAGCCCGGCCAGTCGCAAAAGAAACGCATCTTGGCCATGGCCCAAAGCGAGTGTGGCTACCAGCCGCAGGCACCCAGCCAGCCCTCATCTTCGGCCAGTTTGCCGCACATTCCCACCAAGCAGGAGCCAGCCGAGTTCTATCCGGAGTATGCAGCTGCTCCGCCGCAACAGTTGGACACGAAGCGCTCCTCCTGGGCACCTACATCTTCGGGATCGGGAGTGGCCGCTCTGCCGCTTGCTCATCCAAAGCGAGAGGCCCCCTCTGTAGCTCCAATAAGCTATGTGGCCCCCTCTGTGGCTCCACCATTGGCCCACTCCAAGAGCAGCTCCGCATCATCATCTTCGTCGATAAGCGCTGCGGCTGCCGCAGCAGCTGCTGCAGCTGCAGCGGCGGCGGCCAGCGTCGGTCCTCCGTCGTGGGGTCCTCCACAGGTCTATCGTCAGCCATCACAGCCGCCTCCGGGCAGCGTGGGACTACCAGGAAGCACTCAGCCACCGCCGTCGAGTGTGGCCCCGCATCCGCATCATCACAGTCACGGACATCATCATCACCAGGCCGGAACACCGCTGGGCGGGTCGCCATCATCGACGGCGGCGGCCGCTTTGTTGCAGCCGGATATTTATGCGCAGGGCGACATTTACCGCCGGCCCACAGTGTTCGTTTCACAGGCGGCCCCTAGCTATGCCTACGCCAATCGGGCGGTGGTGGCCCCACCTCCGGCCCACAACAGCTCCAGTCGTCAGGTGAGATGGGTTATGAATTATATATCTTATTCTATCGTAGCTAACGAACGTGTTACTGCTTTCTCAGGTGATACCATCACATCCGCTGCCAGCTCACATTCAGATACCCACCCAGTACAGCCAGTTTGGACCGCTTAGTCCTGCCCAGGTAGCCGCCAGCAAACACGCGGCGCACTTCGCGCCCACCAACATATGGTATGGGGCTGAGTAGACCGACGATGGGAGTTGACGGGGAGAGGGGCGATGAGGAGAGACGCGGGACGAGGATGTGCACCCACCCAGAACCAAGAACCAAGAACTAAGAACCACCCAACCAACCACACACCGCACAACACCACCATCACCACTGTTGTTATGATCTTGAGCTAGAGCCCGATCGAATGATTCAACGCTCGAGTGAGTCGAAAATGCCGGGATGCCGAGCCGAATTCAGACTTCTCCTTCAAATCTAGATCTTACGGCTAATGATCGTACATCCGTTTTTTATTCCCAGATCTTTTGTGGCCTCGGGCGGGGCAGGAGACCAGCCGGAGCAAAGCCAAGAGCTGCAGCAACAGCAACAACAGCAGCTGCAGCTGACTCAGTGCTGGTGGTTCATGCTGCTCATGCAGCAGACTATCATCCACAACAACTCCATGCTGCAGACGGGCAGCGACGACGCCGTAGCAACGGCAGCATCAGCCACATCCTCAGACACAACCGCAACACGTAAAGCACGCCGCCAGCATTAAGCCAAGTCCAAGTCCCCAGCCTCGTTGCCAGTTATCAGCTAGTTTTTTTTTCGAGGTTCCGTGGGATCTCCCTTCTGCTACTATTAATTTTTATTATTTTTTAAATAATATTAAATATAAATGTAAAGCACTCCTACACGCAGCTGGGTGTACAGTGCTCAGGCAAACTTTTGGCAGGTTGTGTATCAGCACAACGCCACACCCACACACACACTACAGCTATAGCTTCATACCCTCGAAATATGCGAATTAGGTGCATATCGAGAGATGTTTTTCTTCAAAACGAAAGCGTTTTATAAATGTGTGTCGTGTGTTTTATTGATAACTTCCACATAATATTCTCTATTATCCAATTATATATATACATGCATATGTAACACTATTATTATGAATACTATATATCAAGAGAAAGCTAAACTAAACTAGAGTTTACGGCACGTCGACAACTGCAACATTAGGCCAGAGCGCCAGTAAGAGAAAGCTTCGAAATTCCCTAGCAAGTACCTCAGAAAATCAAAAACCTAGCAGCAGCAACACCAGCAACCAGATAAGAAAATAAACAACATTGTTATGCAATTTGCCTTTTACACAAAACAAGCGACAAAACAAATTGAGATGACGAGAGCCGATGAAGATTATGATTATGATTATGATGCAGGAGTAGAGTTAGACGAGGTTAGTAGAGAACCACAACAAATTGAATACCGCAAAAACCTTACTAGCAAACAAACAAGCAAATAAATAGATACCCTAGGAGATATCAACAAAGAACTTAACAATTACATAGCTCATAGATTTAGTGGATAGAACGGGAGAAGGTTAAAGGGCGAACGTTTTTTACACACTCGTAACTCACTCATAGGAATAGCCGAGAAAAGAATTACAACTAACAACTAACAGATAACAGATAACAATTCTAAATTATGTTTAACGAGCAACAACAAATAATTATAGGAACAAGTGTACATAATACGCATATACTTACATATATCGGTACTAAAGCTAGCCGCAGCCCAACTAAAAGCCGATTTTAAAACTGATCAGGTCGGTCAGTGAAGCCAGTTAGTCTGCGGTACGTTTCATTTTTAGACTTCACATTTCTTTTTAACCTATCTGTGTCCCGGAACAAGATCTGCGTTTTGGTTATTCTTTTAACTAGGAAAGCGCATAAGAAAGTTTACTAAAGTACAAAACCAAACAAAAATAACAAGCAATCTAGCAGTTTAGGCTTTTAGAGTTTGTCCCACTACAACCCCTTGTTTTAGGCTTTCCCCCCAGAGAAGATGTAATATATAGAATCCAATTTTGATATGTACAAACCTGGCTTACTTTAACTCGCCCACTATAGATCCTTAATATAAAATATAAACTAAATCTTGTTAAATAGGTTTCCTAAAGTATTTCGTAGTTAGAATTAAACATAACTTTTCGCGATAAAATAACCGAGCAGCAACTAATTTTTCGCCCTCCCCGGGTCGATTACTCGGTTGTCCCAACTGAGAGTTTAGAAAAATCGGTCCTTGGAGGGTGGCACTTCCTATATAATGAATTATACTGATACAGAATGATACAGATACAGAGCAGAAATATTTAAACCATCCTTCGCCCCTTCCTAATTCAGCTGTGTACATTAAGCTATTTCGGGATCGGGTCGAATTAACTCCGACGATTGGAAATGATCTAGCATATAATTATTGTGATGTAGTTTTTAACGAGCGAGAAGCAGAGAAGTCCGCAAACGTTTTTTGTCAGTCGTCGCCGGCGAATAGAAATTACCTAAAATTACGAATAACCAATTGCGATACGGATACGGAATATGCATCTATATGTTAACTAATTAGTGTGCAGGATTCAATAGCGTTAGCACGACAACAAATCGTTTTTTTAACCAAGCAAATAACTTTTTAACAAGCGAGTAATAACACTTTTTGTAGTAGGAAAGGATGAAAATTGTAGCATACATAGACGTAATTAAGAAACGTTAGTGTTGTGAATATATACGAGTAAATACAAAAAACATAGAAACCTAGATTCTAGATTCTAGCTTATAGATTCTAGACGTGGTTCGAGTACATTTATATTATGGATATATTTTGTGTATAAACAATAACGGCAACCAGCAGCTAACAATTGTAATTGTAATAAACAATAAACGAAAACCACAACTCGGCAGATTTAAGATTCTTGTTTAAAGTCGAGCGAACCTTATCTAGATAATAGACATAGATGTACTCAGCAAGTTCTTTTTTTATAGAAATTTTATGGACCATTCAACTAAAGCATATAGTCAAATAAGCATGAATATTGTATAAAAAACAGCTGTGTGACCGTTTTTAGATGTCAGCGGAAAGTTGCGATCTGTGTTTCCGATTTGTGTTTCTTGTCCTGCACCCACTCAGTGTGCGAACTTATATTATAAATGTATATGCTAAATATCTGCGAGGGCAGACGAACTTTTCTTCTCTTTCTACTCAATATTTAGGAGCATCAGCAAGAAAGCAAAACCGAGAAAAAAAAAAACAAGAAAACAAATCATGAACGCTTTAAATGTAACAAAAACGAAACGTTAATAGACTTATGAAAACAACAACAAACAAACAAATTAAATTTATATTAAACGACAAATTAAATTTATATTAACAAGCAACAAATTACATTTATATTTAAAGAAAATCAACAACAAATTAAACCTATATATTAAACAAACTCACACTCGATAAGCAGGCAGCTGGAACCCGGTCGTTAGCAGACTTTTGGGGCCCACTGTCGGAGGACTTGTATTTAAGAGGAACTCCGGGTGGCTTGCACCACCAGCGAAATACGGAGAGATCCACACAAAACTCTAATATACGTATATATTTAAAGGAGAAATGTTTTAACTGTGTAGCCTTAGTATTTGTACTCGTCGTCCTCTCGATTTCCGACAAAAATATGATGATATACGATACTGTAGAGCGAGTATGCCGATCGATGTTTACTAATATATTTCATATGTATGTACATGTACTTGTTTAATCGTACTGAGTTCGGATGAGTTCCCCTTACTATTTACTATTTTAACCATTTAAATTTACTTTTAATTTACTTTGTTTCTTTGCTTAACTTTGTTTAATAATGGAACATAGCCACAACATATACCATACATATTGCTTATATTTACTTATGTCCTACAAAATATAGAAATCGTAAATATACATAACAGATATCGCAGATATTTTCGTTTTTCTTTATTTCCTATTATTTTGTTTCTTAGTGCTTTAAGAACAACTTAATCAAAAGCAAACGGAGATTATGATGATGATGATGCAAAACAACAAATACAACATATATCCCACCAAATTACAAAGGAGTAAATAATTTTTAAGTTTAAATGATTAGTGAATGAACTTAATATTAATCGTAGTTATTGTGCAATAATATCGATAACGATTAGCCAGTCAAAGCAAATTGTGCAAACAATTTAATTTTAGTATTGGGGACCTAGTAGTCTAGTTGCTCCCCGCAAGAGGCTAGCTTCAGCTGATTTAGATTTAGTTCAAGACCAACCAGGTTTCTGCAGATTATAGATTGATTTCGCACGCCCCACCCCGCCCGCCACACCCCTCGAACCTTAAACCTTGAACTTTGAACTTTGAACCACCCTCCACGAAGTTGTTTGATTGACCAACAATTGATGAGCTTTTACCGGAAAGTAAAGATATTTTGTTTTGCATTTACCAAAACAGAGCAAGCGAAACCGAAACTGTAACCGAACCGAACCGGAACTGGAAATTCAAAACCAATCTGTAACAGATGGGTTGAGGGAGATTAGAGGAGTTGACAAACAAGATTGATAAGAACCCGTCCATAATTAGATTTCTTTCGTTTGAGCTGGACCTGAACAACTGGACAGCTGGAGCGAGATCCAAAAACTTAGCAGGGGCCCTCTCCTACTTAATGATAGCATAATTTTACGGATGCGGATAATACCGACTTAGTAGGCTACCAGTAACTTTATTACGATATTGATAACCTCTTCGTGTTTCCTTCACTTGAAGAACTTTCTAAAATCCTCTTAAAAATTGTGGTTCGGATCGACATTAGAAGTTTTTAATACACACACACAGAATATATGTATATGCGGATATATTTTATTAACTAAGAAATTATTTCCTAGGCAAGAGGAGAGATCATAACGATAACCGAAATGTTGATGTGTGAAATTTATAAGACTAGCATATTTCCTACCTACAGAAAACCAAATAACAGAACAATATGTGTTATATATACACGAAATATGAAATATGATAATTAGCAGCTAGGGCTGAGATCGTACTCACAGTCGTACATACATATGTATAAACGCTATGGCGAATACAGATAATGGTAAAGATATTGAATTTAAATGATCGTACCTTTTGCTGATTTCAAAACAAGCCAGAATTTGAAGAGGCCAGAGCAAAGCGAAGTCATTGGGTGATGAAAACGTAATCGAAACAATATATGTTTTAATAGATCAGAGAGAGCACTTTTATGGGATTTGCTTTTTATATACATATGAAATATACGAAAATATAGATGTACTTACAGCGGTGACAGTCCGCACTTTGGGCGATTGCGCGTTTCAGATTAAAGAATTTAAATATTTTTATATACGAACTCGAGTAGAGACTCCATATACATTTACGTTTAGCAAAAATAGCGAGTAGAGGCCAGGCTTTGCATTCGATTACAAAGTGAAGGGAAGTAAACCAAAGAAGGATAATCAAAGTGCGCGCACACTCCACTCACAAACACACAATCACTCACCACGCCACACTACCCCATTAGTGTTTATTTTTCGTGGGCACCAAGTCATATTCACATGTAGTACATGACCTTGACCCCTAGTCCTAGTATCACATTTACGAATCCCCGACCTCAGATTTGATCAAGGGATTCCTGGGTTAGACAACAACGAATTGCCGGGCAAGTGGAACCAGAGCTCCTGTCCCAAGAACGCAACCCGCAACATGAATGTTTTCGATCGTCAACGAAGAGATTTGACCTTGCACCTTTATTTCGTCAAAGGCAACTCACCAACACTGAAACAACCTCAAGATGTTTCAACAAAACTTCACCACCAAACACTGCACTGAAGTTCAGTTGAACAGCACCTCATTGAATGTTTCACCAACATCACTCACCAACGCATAACTTACGTGTAAAGTTGAAAGGAAACAACACCTCATTACAAATTCACCGCATTCCAAGTATTCTCCAACACTCAACCACAAAAACTCTAATCGTACTTAATCACTCTTTTTGTATTCTAATAGTATTTCAATGAACGTGTACTGAATGTTTTTACTTGGTGTCCTCTCTTATTTAGGCTTAAGGAAATCGAAATCGAAAGAAACGGAAATGAAATTCAAACTTATATCAAAAACCAAGCACACCGATACATTTAGCATTGTACTTGATAAGCTATCGATACTAGAGTTAGATGCGAATCAAAATATATATACGCGAAGTCATAAGTATATCTCTCTGTCTTATTCGGATATGCGTACCTTTTTGAGGGCCCCCAAGATATTAGGAGGCCAGCTACTTTATCAAATACAAATAATCGTAGCCCTAGTGAATGAATTGAATTAAAAGTCTCGAGACCAAACCAAAGCAAAGCGAAGCAAACCCGAATCCAAATCCAAAACCAATCAAACTAAACGAAACAATGAGCCGCAACGTTTGTATTTATGTATAGAGTTCCCTCCCTAACCAACAGATAAAACCTATAACAATCGAGTTCCGATTTCAGAAGAGTTAGGCAGCAATTAAGCAAGAAATACAAAAAGTACAGATTAAAATAACGGTAATGATAAAGATTAACTCAAGTTACGTCAACTTAGTGGCAGTGTAAACGCGTCTAGATAATTAATAGATATGAATAAGAACTTTTGACTTTTATGGCTGTTTAGAGATTTTATAATACGACTATATCGATATAGAATTATATACATACACGAATATAGTATAAATAAGCCCCAAGATTTTCGTAACTTATTTACATACTCAGACACAAACATACTCCACACGACAAATTAACTTTAGTTCCCCAGATGATTTTCGGCTAGTTCTGGCTTGGAAAACCCCTCCCAAACTCATCTTCGCACATTTTGGGGAGTGGGAATGTCCCTCTGTGGCCCATGGAGGGAATGAAATCGAACATTGTGAAATTTAGTGTCTTTACACTTTAAAGAGAATATATACAAAACGGATTAATTAAGAAACTTGAAACTCACACGAAGGGAAATTCAGATGCAGATAGAGAAGCAGAGCAGAAGCAGTAGCAGAAACAGATGCAGATACACCTACTCAAAGATGCAGATGCATATAAATTATGGTAATTACATACTCTCGTACATATGCCTAAAAGGATACACGTGTAGTAATCTACAGCCACAACAAACAATTAAAAGTAAATGTCTATATATGAAACGAACAAGATTTAATATGCGCGATATGCGTGTATCAATATATACTTAGATGTATTTGTGTATATGAAAACAAACGCTAACAAAGTAAACCAAATTATAAAAAAAAAACAAAGAAAAAATAAAGAGAAACAAAAAACGACAACCGATAACAAATACAAAACCAAAATTATCAACAACAAAAATAAAAACATTTTGTTACTTATTTAATGGCACCCTTCTCTAAGAAGTGTAAGTTATCCAGGTAAGGTATAAGTTAACGATCCTTTCCTGATCGGCGAATCGAGCGGAGTAGGCCTGTTCAGCCAGTCGTCTAAATTCCAAAACCCCGATTGATAGCCCAATAATCACAGAGGGATTAGACTGTTTTACTCCAGTATCCAAAAGGCGTACCAGCAGAAGCTCATAATCCTACAGAAATCGAGATATAAGGTCACCGATCTCAGGCCAACCTGGTTTGATAGCGTCTTTAATGGCTTACTCGTTCCTTAGGTTGATAATGGGGCAGACGCTGTCGGAACCGGTGACCACCAAGGACTCAGCCTGCTGTGGCAACGCTAGCTATCGCGTGGGCTCATCCTGCATGCAGGGATGGCGCGTGGAGATGGAGGACGCACACACCCACATTCTGGCACTGCCGGAGGATCCGCAGGCGGCCTTCTTCGCCGTCTACGACGGACACGGCGGAGCGGCGGTGGCCAAGTTCGCGGGCAAGCATCTGCACAAGTTCGTCACCAAGAGGCCGGAGTATCGGGACAATAGCGTGGCGTTGGCCCTGAAGAGGGCCTTCCTCGACTTCGATCGCGAGATGCTGCACAATGGCACCATTGGGGAGCAAACGGCCGGCTCCACTGCCGTTGTGGTGCTCATTCGGGAGCGGCGCCTGTACTGCGCCAATGCGGGCGACTCGCGGGCCATCGCCTGCATTTCCGGAGTGGTCCACGCCCTGTCCATGGACCACAAGCCGAATGACGCGGAGGAGACCAAACGGATCCTGGCCGGCGGTGGCTGGGTGGAGTTGAATCGGGTCAATGGCAATCTGGCGCTCTCCCGCGCCCTCGGAGACTTCATCTACAAGAAGAACTCACAGAAGAGCCCTGAAGAGCAGATCGTGACCGCCAATCCCGACGTGGAGGTGCGCGACATTACCGACGACTGGGAGTTCGTCCTGCTGGCCTGCGACGGCATCTGGGATGTGATGAGCAGCTCGGACGTCTGCCAGTTCGTGCGCGGGCGCATATGCGATGGCATGGAGCCGGAGCTCATTTGCGAGGAGCTGATGACCAGCTGCTTGGCGCCGGACGGGCACACGAGCGGCCTGGGCGGCGACAACATGACCGTCATCCTGGTGTGCCTGCTGCACAACAAGAGCTACGAGGATCTGGTGGTGCGCTGCGGTGGCCGGCGGAAGACACCCGTAGAAACCGTGGGCGACATCAAGGAGCAGCCGGTCCTAAAGGTCGTAACTCCCTACTCGCAGGGATCCTCGGGGACGTCGACCTCGCGATTGGGCCTGGGCTTCGGATTTCGCGAAAGCGATACTCCGCGGGAGAACCTTTAACGTTCTTCTTCCTTAATTTTGTATTTTTCGTTACTGGGTTTGTTTGCTCTTACATTTGTACTTGGATTTGGGACATTACAATAGTGGCAGTCCAAATTATCAGTCACCGCACATCTTTTATCGGCAGCTATGAACTAATAAACAAAAATCAATGATCCGCCCAGTTGCTAGAAATAAGAACACTTTGGTTTGCATTTTCTCGGGATCAGTGGATCTCTCGTTTAATTCGAGTTAATGTGCAAATCTATCATACATTTTAGAGCTACGTATACGTGTATATATCTTTTGGTGTAAGTACGAGTACATAAAGGTATAAAGGTAGATGCGTGCGCATCTAAAACGAAGTATCTTTGGTGCGATTAGCTGTAGGTCGAGTCGAAATGCAGTGGGTGTCTGTCTCTCGATAACCAGATGGTGGGGCTACAATGAGATGGCCGGTTGCTCCGAATCGTGAAAGTAGAAATATACAGATTGCAATATGGTACCCTAATTACTCTAATTAATCAGCGATACGGTTATGTCAATTATTGCACCACTTGCGGCCGTAAAGTGCTTAAAATAGCGCGCGCACAAAGGTGAGGAGATGGGGATACCCCTTGCTCTGGCCAAATGTGCGCTGAATTTAAATGTAAAGACTAGAAGTTCTCTCGTTTTGGAGCGACTTCCGTGCCGGAAGCAGGAAGCCGACCAATGCCTTAATGCAAAGTGATTAATGGGGTTAGTTTGGATATGCCTAGTGCTTGTAAAATCATAAAGCTAGTTGACTATGTGTAAAGTTTGTAGCTTTGCTGCGGAGTTCGATCGTCCGGAGTGCGGAGTGGGATGCTATATCCTACATCTCGCGATGCTAACTCTCCGATCGGTAATCGTATGTGCTATAAAAAAATACTGGTTACATTGGTTTTTTGTCGCTGTTCTTGGCAAGTCTCTAAGAAGTCTCTTATTACAACTAAGTGAAGATCAAACGATCAATCGGGAATCGATCCAACCTTGGCTCTCTATATCTACTCTGTATGACCTCGCCTTCTCTTCTCTGGAGCTCTCCGCGAAGAGGAAACCCTTCTGTTCGACGAGCTGTGCGTGCTCCTCGTCGCTCTGGAATCATCTACTCTCTAATGGTACTTTAGCTCTTTTGCATTATTATCACATATTCGTTGACTACAGTAAGAAAATGTCCTGGATTGGGGTGGGCTTTGAAAGGACTTGGATTTCAGTAACGGCTCTGCTTTGCTCTCTCCGGTGTCTTTTGCTCGGTGTCCTGGTGGGGATGTTCCTATGCGACCATGGCGTAATTGCCGGTCAGCTCGAAGGGACTCGTCTTGGCCGAGTGCGTAAAGTTGTTCTTGGGCGAAAAGTCAACGGGCTGTTCCTGCACGGAGCTGGTCTCCGCGGGCGCGGGCGCGGACGTGGCCTGGCCCTGAAAGTGGTACGGCATGGCCAAGGGCAAGGCCAGTGGCACGTGGGGATTGGGGAGCAGGTCCTGGTAGAGACTGGGTACTCTGTGCGGCAGCGCCTTCGGCTGGATCACGTTGATCCGCTTGAACTTCTCGTACTCCTCGTAGGCCGTTGCCTCTGGGCCAGCCGGAAAGCCCTGGAAGGCCAAGGCCGCCTGCCTGCGCTCCTTTTCCTTCTGCAGCAGCTTGTTGGCCAGCGTGGACTTGGCTGAGTCAGAGGCGGTGCACTGAAGGAAAAGCGTGGAACAAGGGGTTACATCAGGCTTAAGTCAGGATGTCAGATCGATGTGAGGCACTTACCAGCGCAACTGGGGATCCGGAACCCAAGGCCGAGGTGCAGCCGCCGGCCATCTCCGACTGCTGCCTCTTGGGCGAAGAGGGAGGCCGGGAGCTACCGGATGCTGATCCACCCGATACCGATCCCGATGCAGAGACCCCGCCCCGGTTCTTCATGCAGGAGGACTCCTCGTGCTTGTACAGGTAGGACTTGAGAGCGAAGGCCTTGCCGCATCGCGCACACGTGTGTGGCTTGGTGTTCGAGTGGGTCTGGATGTGGGCGCGCAGGTTGCTCTTGTCGGCGAACGCCTTCTCGCAGACGCCGCACTTGAAGGGCTTCTCGCCGGTGTGGGTCCGGATGTGGCCCTGGAGGAGCCAGGGTCTCGAGAAGCGCTTGCCGCAGTACAGGCACTCGCATCCCTGATTGTGGGTGCGCACGTGCATCGAGTAGGCGGGCATCGAAACGTACACCTTCTCACAATACGGACAGTGGCGCGCCTTCTTGTCCATGATGGACCTTTGTAGAACATAGAATCCACCATACCACCATCATGAGAATTTAAAAATGCGTATTTTTGTGCAGCGAACTCACCTGTGCGTTTGTCTATGACGTGCCAGGTTGGAGGATGTGGAGTACTTCTTTCCGCACTCGGGACAGATGTGCTCGTCCTCCAGCAGCGAGCTGCTGTTGAGGATTTCGCCCGGCTCCGCATGGTGGTGGTGCGCCGACGAATGCCCCTGGAGTCCCAGGTGGTCCTCCGAGGACTGTCGGCTGGAGCTGGAGCTGGAACTGGAACTGCTGCTGGTGCTGGTGCAGGAATTCGAGTCGGAGATGGTGCATCGACGCAGTTTCCTGCGATCAAACACCTTGTGGCTGTAATAGTTGGAGTCGTCGTCCGAGGAGGCGTACAGTGGCAGTGGCTTCACCTCGTCTGTGACCAGAGGACCCACCGACAGAGTGACCTCCGCCAGCTTGGTGAGATTGTACAGCTCCTCGGGAATGGGTGTCGCCTGCTGGTCCTTTGTCATCGCGTTGAAGAGAAATGCCTGAAAAACATCGGGGATTTTCTATGATGAAGACAGCATGACTAGACACGAAATACTCTATTTCCTGCTAAATGCGATCGCGATGCGTCACTACCTAGCTAATACATATCAGCCACTACATCGTCAATGGTGAGTTTAAAATGAAATGAATAATATTTTGCTTGGAACTGCCGCATTTCCAATGATTGTGGTGCACAAGACTCAAAGACCCATTCATTAAACTCACATTTACCCAATTAGTGGTTCAGCATAGCTTCTGAAAGTGCACCAAAAATACGCCAATAATGGAATTATTCGGCATAAGAAACCCCACCGGATCGCACACTCAAAGTGCGATCGTCGCCATCTATCATCCCACCTATCATAGATCTTTCCCTCCTTGTGCTTGCGCCATAATTCTTGTTTGTTTATTTGAAAGTGCATCAATTTATAATTAAGGACAGAGCCGGGAGGCCACACTCAGCGTCTCAGATGTGAGCCAAAGTCGTCTGCATCATCATCATTGCCGCACGGGAATTATCGCACATGGTCGAGGGTTGGCAGAGCCCACGGGGCGTATGATTAACGTCATTGCATAGCGCATACCGCATGTTGCACATTGCATATTGCATTTTGATTCTGATTCTGATTCTGCTTCTGATTCTGGCACTTGTTGGCTGTTTTGTGGGTCGGAGGTGCCGATTTTCCGCCGGCGTTCGCCATCCTCGCCTATTTGCGTGGTCAAATAAATTTATGTCGAAATGAGTGCGCTTAATTTGAACATGTTGTTTTGGCATTGATTAATCTCGCTCGTAATTGGCGCATTCGAAAGTCAGGTGGGCTGCGGACTATTTCGGACCATGTTTGAGTTCACTGTACCATGACCAGTACAGGGATTTTCCAGAGCTACCAGCGTTTCAGGATTGTTTGCTGAGGACTGGAAACAGCCCTCAAATATTAATGCCTTTGTTTTGTAAAATTCTTCAAAATATTTAGCTTTTCTCTACCACCGCACTCAATCGTTTGTTTATCATGTGAAAGTTTTCTCATTTATTTTTGCGCCCCAAAAGATTTTCCGATTAATAGAACCCATTGAGAAATTCGGACGAATCGATGGAACACTGCTGTTTTTCCACTCTTGAGGAGGTCATGTGCCATACTCTGCTGGTGTTTTGGCTTTTTGGTTTTTGGTTTTTCGGTTTTGAAATCGCTCTTGTTTTCGGTTTTGTTTGTTTCCCCAACATTCTCTGTATTTCGCCTGATGTGTGTTTCTTTTTCGGCAGCGAGGGAAATGTGGCTGAAAGTTCCCCCGCCGAATCAACCCAGCTAAACAGCTGCCATCCGCCCCCGCCAACGAATTCTGCAACCTGTTGCGCCCGCTTAGCTGCCAATTCCCATCGGTTCCTCGGTTCCTCGGTTCCTCGGCTCCTCTCCTCGGGGAGCAGTACATCAAAATGTTTGTGCGGCAATTAAGCGGAATGATCGCTGCCAAGGTGGCCGAAGGTGTGCGAAATGCGAAAGTGGTTTTCCATGAAAGTGGTTTTCCCCTTGCGCCTCTTCCCCCCTTTCCCCCTTTCCCCCTTTTCCCCTTTTCCCCCTTTTGAGTGGGTGTAAGCAGATGCCGCCAGACGTCCATAATTTGTGTCTTGGCGAGTATCGGCCCATTTATTTATGTGTATGCCCCACCACCTGAGTCCCTGTTCCCACTGCTCCCACTGTTCCCACTGTTCCCAGGTGGTTGCCGTATACATTTAAATATAGCACTCAATGTATGCCATTTTCCACCTAATCGCGTCATTTTCAATACCCGATTTCCATCGAACACGAAATACCCGCGTCTCTCAAGAACAATATGCGTCTGAGAATTCGCCGGGGAAAACAGCTGACAAGTGATCGGTGCTCCTCCTCTTTGGATCTTATAAAGCCGCACTCTCCACCCCTCAGTCCTGCCTTCCCAAGAAAAATGCCTGTGCCATATTTCCGATGTCAGAGTCGCTGGGGGCGTACGAAATGTCGCATGTTTCTCTGACAGGTCGTTAATTAATTATTCCGCGGCCCGTGCGATTGCAGATCGGTAATCGCGAATGACAGGAAGAAGGTGGGTAGGGATCGCCGATGTGCATTTGCCTCGCGTTCTAATGGAAAACATGGGCAGCCTCTTAAAGTCAATCGATGGAGCGAAAGCAATATATTTGAAATATATACTATTTCGTTTGTTCCACATCTTTTCAGGTGACTCATACCCCTGATGTATGATTTACAAACATATTCATGTTTCGAGCAGCAGTTTGCTCACAGTGTATTTAAGCTGCTTAGAGTCCCCCAGTGGGATGACTCATTGCTGCTCCCCCATCCGCAACTTGGTCTTCCATGTGCACCGAACAATGGACCACGGACCGGGTAAGATATTGCGCTTTCCGCCTGCCATTTTCCTTTTCATGCCGCCGCAGATCTGCGCAAATTGCGTGGTCTCCGCCCTGCGATCCCCCCGCTCCGGCCGTATAGCCCGCCCGAGTAGACCGTGTCCGTATGGCTGGAAGAGTTCAAAGTCCTGTTAATGTGCACAGAGGCCAAGCAGAGTGCCGATGGCCAAGAGAGGTGGCTTCGCTGGCTTCGGTGGCCTTAACATGCGTCTTCCCCTCGCAGCCGCTCAATATATATCTATAAATACCTGATGGCTGCCAAGGGGCAGGGGAAGGGCAGTGATCCCAGCATAGTTTACATTTTAGTTCAGTGGGAAGGCGAGTGCACAATAAACAAAAATCCAGAGCGCCAGCCTCAACCTCTGGTCGCTTCCCAGTCCGGAGTCAATGCCATGCCCACGCCACCCCCACTGCGCTCCGGCTGAAATGCTGGATTTGGGCATCAGTTTTTGTTTACCCCACATCGCAGGCCCTCATCAATCGTTGCCTCAACTGCAGTTCCCCGTCCCCTGCGCCTTCGCGTTGCCGACGGTTTGTTTACGGATCCGCGGCATAAACATTTGGCCGGGAAAGGACACAAAGGAGCAGGCTGCACCTGTAAATCACGGCGGCTAATTATCCCTGATCGCTTGTTTATGCGCCTAAATGGGCCTGAGGATCTACGCATCCACCACGGCGAGACAATGGCGCACGGCCATGCGGAAAGATACCAGCTACGAGTACGAGTATACTATGTGGCCCGGTCACTATTTCCCGTTCTCAGAAGCTCATTGCCAATGCAAACATTGCTCACGTAAATGTCAAAATATCAAAAGAAATAATAATATTAATTTAACAAGTGCGGCCCGTTCTGTCCGCGGAGAGGGGGCTCGAGGGGGGATCGGCTCATTCCGCCGCTCACTCGCAGTCACGCGAATCTGTTGGCCCAATTTGCCAAGCAGATTTTCGATTTGGTTGCGGTTCCTGGGCAGAAAGCTATGCACGACCTAGGTGTGTGCTCTATTGTGTAACCGAAAGGTGCTAAAACATGCCCATTTTGCCAACTCACCCCACGCAGCTCGAATAGTTTCCGGAAAAGAATCCTCCCCCTATCCGGTCGCTATCCGGCGAATATAGACGGATGATTCAATGCTTTATCACACACGGAGCGTAGTTTCCACGGAGCTCATCACCCGCCAAGACTGCGCTACTGCTTCTTAGTTTGGGGGATCGCACGGATGCTCGCTAAGTGTCAAACCGATTTATTGTCCCACGGACGGATGGCGCATCCGTGAAGGCGAGCGAACGCAGCGAGATCCCAGGAAGAACTGAGCGTTCTTCGCCACACCACTTACAGTTTTTACATCTTGCGGCCGCCGACGCTGCCGCGGCGATTCTTCTTCTGCCTCCGGCGGCGGCGTCCACCTCGCGCCTCCCACCCTCTCCTACGTGCTCTTACACTGAGAGAAATAGCCGAGCATCGGCGGCCTACGCAGCGATTATTGACATGCAGGCGTGCAGTAACTGTTGGCTGATTTAATTGTCCGACTAATTTTCCGACTTGCATTTGGCTTTCTGCCCCTGGTTTCGCTCCGTGCACTGCCAGCAGCTGTTGGTCGCTGTTGCCGAGGAGCGGAGAGGATCGGAGAGGATCGGAGCGGATCGGATCGGATCGGGATCGGATCGAACATAACTTCGAGAACGAACCACGACGCAACAACGACGGAACAAGTGTGCGCGGTTTAAAAATAAAAATAATGTTTTCATTGCGCTACCGCCTCCCCCTCCCCCTCCCCTGCCCTGGCCTTCCACTTGCATTTTCCGAAAGGGAAAACTGCGCCCGAGGTGACGACGCTCCTGCTGGCAGGACCACTGCGCAGAATTCTTCTAACGATCCGCAGTCAGTGTCAAAAACCTCACACACTCGCTGAAGAACAGACCGGGTTGACACCATAGGTTTTTAGAAATTAACTCTTTTGAATCTTTCTACCTGAGCTGCCTAATATCTGTGTAGCATTCATCTGGACATTCATCCATTTGAACACGTCCCATATTTTAAGACACATGTTAAGTGCACTCATTGGCTTCCCCCTACAGATTCTTTGTATAGGTCGCACTAATTTCTGTTTGAATTTGCTTTGACTAGGAGACTATCTCTTCGATGGCTATTTTGGTGACCTCGGCTGTGGGAATTTGCCCCATGTGTCAGTGTGTTTTCGCCTGCCCCATGCTGATTTGCCTAGAAAGAGAGAGGCAGTTCCCTCGCTTCGTGGTTGGGCAGTTTCTTCGGCAGCCGGCTCCCCGTCTTTCTTTCTGCTCTTCTTGCTGCTCGGATTCTTCCCCTGCTGATGCGGATGGGGTTGGGTGACGGGGATGGGGATGGGTTCTTTCCGCGAGGAGTGACGCAGTCGCATGCAATTTGGCATTTTCCTCGCCTGCGTACTTGTTGCGGGCATCCGAAATAGACTCGCTCACCTGAACCGCCCCACCCAATCCTCCCCCAAAAATGTACGCTCCGCGAGTTCCCCACCTCCTTTGGCCTTAGAAGGCAGAGCCCCAACGGATTTCTCGCAGGTGTTGTCGCTGTCTCTCGTTGCCTCCACTTTAAATTTTCGACTTTTCAGGCGTAATGAACTTAATGTCGCCCCTTTGGGCGCTTTTCCTCGGATGTATTGGGTGCTAACGTATTTTCTATATACTCGATATGATTTATGCCGAGCGGCGGTCTGCTGGTGCTGGTTCTGGTTCGAATTGGATTTTGATGTTTCACAAAAGATCTGTACAGTTGGGCGGGGATTGTAATGGGCTTATTTATAAGGCCAACTAATGTGTTTAGTGCTTCCCTGTCCCCGACTTCATGCCCCGGCTTTTCGCACTTCTGGTGGCATTTTCACACTCTACAACTTGCAGCCCACGCGCCGAAGACAAAGGAAATCGGTTTGGCGGCGGTGGAAAAGCGGCGGGAGAGCCACAAAGGGGTGGGCTTTGTCTGGCGCCAACATGGAAATGCAATTTGAGTGGTAAGGTCAGGCTGGGCCATAGCAATGCATCACCGTCACGGCGGAGCTTTGGACCCGGGAAAGGCCTTCTGCTGCCAACGTGACATGTGCTAAAGACATCGTGCGTCGACTTTAATCACGGCAATTAATAAGACAAGAAAGGAAGTCCCACAAAGGAAGTGTCCCCAACTTGCGCCCAGCCAGTTGGCCCATCGCTGTGGATCAGCCCGGCTCCTAGTGCTACCCCCGTATCTCATGTACCCATAAACCATGGCCTCACCCGGAGCGTGCGATTCTGGAAAACCGCCGAAGACGTCGCGACTGGCGGCCATAAATCTATTTTCGTCCTGGTTCCAGCCTCAGTCCCCAGCCCTGTGAGCCCCTCCAGGTCTCAGACCCCGTCGGAGATCGGTACTCTTTTCTCACTTGCTGCGCAATTGCGGGGTCCAGTCTCCCAACTCCACACTGAGAGAATACTCGGTCAATTTGTCGTAGGACATGTGCAAGTGATCCAAAATTGATATTTGGCATTATACACCTTAGGCATCTAGTTTGAACTTGACCTGTGCTAGGTACTTCCGGGTTTTCGAGCGCACTGGCACCCCATTTCGCTCAGTGCATGACCGCTTATTAAGTGCCCCTGGATCTTTATTTTTAACTGCTGCCATCAAGATCGGGTGGTTCGGATCCGATTCTCTGCGTAGGTAAAAGGCGGAGGGCTATGTGGTGCACTTGTGTAGCGAAGTATGTGGCCACCACCTCGTCTGAGTTGAATCCGCAAGTGCATCGAATCCACATCCGCAAATTCCAGAGGGTGTCCAATTATTTACGCAGATAAATAAGCGAAATCCGCCGTAATGTGAAATTCAACAAGAAGCAAAGAAAGCGGCAAACACACACTTTGCTCCTCCTCCTTGCTCGTAAATAATTCCCCAAATAATGGGATCCCCAATCGTTGTGATGGATCGAAATCAGATCCATGGATCTGGTCTGATCTCGAGTGGCTATAACTTATGCGGAGCTGTGCAACTTCAGCACCTAATTTCAGGTCCAGCCGCATCCTGTTTACGGGAGTTCCTTGGGAACTCAAGGGTTTCCTCGGGTGGATGTGGATATGGATGCGGATGAATGATGCAGGGAGGAAGGGAGGGAGGTAGGGCCTTCGGGCCGGATATGTGAGTGTGAGTAATTCCTGGGCGCGGAATGAAAGTTTTGGATCGTGCCGTTCCGTGGCAAGATCATAAAGTTCTATTTATACCAATTAGGGGAGCTATAGTTGCGGGAAGTTCAAACTCCGAGCACCGAGTCCCTTGTCCCGATCCCCGGCCTCCGATCTGCGAGAAGTTTCCAAGAGCAAGTGGAGCGATTCCGAAGGTGGCTGCCACTTTGCAAGGCCCACACGAATGTTTTGGTGGGTGGAGATGGGGATGGGGATGGGGATGGAGACGGAGGGTTGGCATGTGCCGCCACTTGAATCAGTGGCTGTTTATTGGGGATCGGGAGAGGGATCGGGATCGGGATCGGCATCGGCATCGTGATTGGGAGAGGAAAGTCTCAGAGTGCCATGTGCAATGGCAGCCAAACATCAACCGTGTCAAAATTCAAAGAAACAAAAGCGGAAATGTTTTTGTTTTCCTTATTTTTAACAGCCGCCACATGAGGAAAACTAAAACACCCGAGTGGCAGTGGTAATGGTAATGGAAAGCTGACTTGGTCAATGAACTTTACCCGCGTCTATAATTGGCCGTGCCAGCGGAATTTGGCTACAAGCCTGAAGGAGTAGGATAATCAAATTAAAAAATAAATTTGAAATATTTTAATTAAATATTTTAATAAATAATTTTATATTTTATATACATGAGATGATTAATTTAACTGTTAATAAATAACAAGCGCTAACTAATAGATTTTGAATAAACACAAAAAGGGGATTAAATACAAAGACAAAATAATTTTTAAATACAAATTTACAAATTACAAATTTCAAATTTACATATTTACAAATTTACAAATTTTTCTACATATTTTGTACGTAGACTATTTACAAATTACATGTAAAATACCGTAGATTACTGGATTACGGTATTAAAGTACAAACGGAAAAATACTAAAGAGTGCGCCTACGTGACAAGTGAAACGGTCGCACCGATACTATCGCACAACTAACGCCTGCTCATATCGATGACATGTTTATCGGCCGTCAATCGAGCAAGAATAGAAATTTGCTGCGCTGCCGAATTGTCGCGAAATTAACCGGAAAACGCACGAAAGCGGGCAAAAACTGCACTGAAATATGCACAACTAGAAAGGCCACCCATAAACCATAAGAAACGCACAGCAAAAGACGCGGAGTAGACAGGGAACAACCAGCAAACATCATGGCGCCCACCCCCTTGCCCCTCGAGCAAATGCCCGGTGTTGGCGGCGGCGGAGGCGGCTACTTGCCCGCTGCCCAGGTGAGTGTTGCTGCTAAACGCATTGTCCCATTTGCACACCGTGGATAATGATTCCCTTGTGCTGCACAGGAGGGCGGCCCGCGGATCAACACAATGTCCATGTCGGTGCTGATCGATTTCATCATCCAGCGGACCTACCATGAGCTAACTGTACTGGCTGAACTGTAAGTACATTTTTGAGAGTATATACAATAGTTATAATTGCTTGCTTGCCGTGAATTCCAGCTTACCACGCAAGACGGACATGGAACGCAAGGTGGAGATCTACAACTATGCGGCACGCACCCGCCATTTGTTCACCCGGCTGAATGCGCTGGTCAAATGGGGCAACTCGGTGTCCAAGGTGGACAAATCGTCGCAGATAATGAGCTTCCTGGACAAGCAGAACATGCTCTTTGTGGAGACCGCCGACATGCTGGCGCGCATGTCTCGTGAAACTTTGGTTCGTGCTCGATTGCCCAACTTTCACATACCCGCCGCCGTTGAAGTTCTGACTACTGGCACATATAATCGTCTACCCACCTGTATACGCGAGCGGATTGTGCCCGCCGATGCAATTACGCCTGCGGAGAAAAGACAGACACTGCTCCGCCTGAACCAGGTCATCCAGCACCGCCTGGTCACAGGAAAACTGTTGCCGCAGATGAGAGAATTTCGCATTCGAAACGGACGAGTCACCTTCGAGGTGAAGCACGAGTTCAGCGTTTCACTGACCGTAATGGGCGATAATCCCACAGTTCCCTGGCGGCTGCTGGACATCGATGTGCTCGTCGAGGACAAGGAGACAGGAGGTAAGGAATCTGAAATTCTCTCCCAAGTCTATAGAATGTACTAAAATCATTGGATTTGCTAGATGGAAAATCCCTGGTGCATCCGCTGCAGGTCAACTACATTCATCAGCTCATCCAGGCACGTCTAGTGGAGAATCCCAATGCCCTCAGCGAGGTGTACAACTGTCTGCACTACTTCTGTCAGTCCCTGCAGCTGGAGGTTCTGTACACGCAGACCTTGCGTTTGAACTACGAAAGACTGGACGACAACAACATAACGGTGGAAGAGTACGTACCGGGCGTAAAATTGACGGTCTCGTACTGGCGTGACCTAAAGTCGGAGCTGGGCTACCGCCTCACCGTTCAGTCGGATCCCAGCGAGATCGGGCGTCCGCTGGCAGTGGTCCACGTGCCCTCACTGGGCGCCAAGGAGTCTGCCGAAGTGGCGGATCGGGCCGTACGCTCTGAGCACCTTTCGATGGAGCGCCTAATTGTGCATACCGTCTATATACGATCGGTGTCCAGGCTGAGCGATCTCAAGCTGGAGTTTCAGGCCTTTTTGAAAGACGTTGACTGTGAGTGTAAAGTAAAACTTAACTAGTTATGCGCGAGAACTAACTAATCCCGGTAACCTTTATGACAGTCAACCTTCAAGGAACTCCTGCCATTCTGACCGTACCCGTACTCTCCCCCTGTCTAAGGGCCGAGCAGATTCACATCACCATTGACACCCACACTGGCATGTTCCGTTGTCATGTGCCCAAGCATCTGGACTGTCCGATCACGGAGGAGATGCAGGACTGCCTCAATGGGGATCGCAGCAAGCTGCCCGCTTTGCTTTCGGAGCTACGCTTCTGGATCACCCATCGAAGGTGCGATAAAACTCTACAACATCTTCCGGCTACGGCCACCGAGACACTTCCTTTTCTGGTGCAGCCTGATCAGGAGCTATTGCAGCCGGGCAGGCACAAGATTTATGTCAAGCTGCACAGGCATCCCAATATTGTTCTGGTAAATATACATTCAGTAAGTGTAATTAAGAAAATATGAAAACGTGGATCTTTTCCAGGTGGTTCAACTCAAGGAGAAGACTACCATGCCCAACGAAATGGAATACACCTTTCACCTGGGCTTCGTGGCCTTCCAAAAGGACGAGTTGGATGTTATAGACGACTCCGCCAAGCAGCTGGTGTCTGTAGTGGCCCAGCCGCATTCGGACATTCCAAAGTGTTACACCAAGTTGATGCGCCTTATAGAGTTTGATACTTTTGTGGCCACACATGGACCTGGCACTGAGGTGGACGGTGAGCATAATGGCGCTTTAAATCGTTGAACCACATAATCAAACTATCAATCTTTTAGCGGAGGTTTCCCCGCACAAACGAAAGTCGAATGGGGATTTGCTGGCTCCTCCTGCCAAACAACAAAAGACCATATTTCCTGCCTACTTCATTCCCGAGCTGGCGCATGTGGTGGCCATGTGTGACGAAAAGATACCGTTCATGAACCTGGCCCAGACGCTGTCCAAGCACAATATTCCCCACAGCGGACTTCAGGTGGAGGCGAATGCCACGTCACTAGTGCTTAAGATACTGGCCTTACCACAGCCAGGAAAAACAACCTTTGCAAACCAACAACAGCAACAGGGAGCTGGCGGACCTGCCGGGTCAGGAGAAAACAAGCCCAGTGGTGCCTCCGGATTGCCGAAAATCGACCCCCACGTGTGGGACGACCTGATGCGTCGCGTTCTCTCCATTTCGGTTCGCTCGCAGACCAACAAGAATAGCCAGGTCCGGATCTGGGTGGTGGAGTTCGTCTTCTACAGCACGCCGCTGCAAAGTAGCCATCAGAAGGAGCAGGGCAGTCGGCGGACTGTTTACCTCAACTATGAGCAGGCGAACCACGACTTTTCCAAAACAGTTGAGGATTTGCTAAACGACTGGTCGAAAATCGTGTACCTGTACACGCTGGTGCACGACTTTGCTGAGCAGCTGCGAAACAGTGAGTTTATACTAGTACATTCGCTTACATTTCTTAACTTCCTTTCGTTTTTTAGAACGCCTTTCCCTGTGCGACATGCTGGTGGTCAAGTCGTACAGCTACATGAACCTGCTCCTCGGATACGGACCCAAAAAAGAGGTGAGCTGCAATATCTATTGGTCGGTACAATCCCACGGCTTCCGCCTGACGTTCGTGGGCGGTATGTCAGCTGTAAACGCGCACTCAATGATGCGTGACCAGCTGGCGCAACACTTGAACCAGCAGCACAGCATCACCCAAGTCGCCCAGATCCTGCATGAAACCTACAACCCGTTGAGCTCGATCGCCAAGCTGCCTGTGCTGCCCTTCTTGGGGATACCGGTAAGTACACCTAGCTACCATGCATCGAACGTACTTACATTACTCCTTAATTCCAGCGCCCTCAAGTGCCAGTGCTATCGTTTTGCATGTTGGCACAATCGCCGTGCCTGATAAGGTTGACTTATCAGGCCGTCTACTGTCTGGAATTGCGTTTTCGTGCCAATAGACTCGTATCCATCCGAGATGGGGCAAGCAGTCGCTTTGAGCGCAACGTGGTGGAGGAGTTCACGCCCATCCAGGGCCTGAAAGCCTTCCTCTCCAAGTACGTGGATGAGTCAGCGGTCTACAGGGGACGGGCTTCCCACGAGGACGACAATCCACTGTCCCCCATGGGAATGGAAGACAACTTTGGCGGACCGAGCAGTGTTGCGGGGGTAAGTGCTGGTGGATCCTCACCATTTTTGGGAACTGGAATGCGGGGACCGCAGTCGCCAAGGGACAGTGGCTTGCGTTTTCCTGCGCCCCACACGCCGCCATCCAGTTCAAATCCGCACACACCCGCCAGTCCGCACCCAAGTGCGGGCGCAGGTGGTGGCAGTGGACCTCAGGGACATGGCAACTTCAACCTGACATCACCGCCAGCGCCGCATATGCCGCATCCGTCGCCCAGCGGCTTGATGCCTTCGTCACCGCTGAATCCTCAGCCCAGTCCCCACATGGTCCACAGCCCTGGACCCAACACGCTGTACATGCAGAGCCACCAGGACTCCCCCTTCACCGCCATGTCGCCGGCGAATAACAATTGGCCCGGATCCCCCAGCATGCCGCGCCCATCCCCACGACCCGGACAGAGTCCCGAGCACAAGAGCACAGGTGGTGGAGCAGGAGGAGCCGGCGGAGCGGATAGAGGAGGCTCACGAGGCACTCTCAATCGGCCCTGGGCTGGAGCAGTGCCCACTCTACTCACCCATGAGGCTTTGGAGACCTTGTGTCGGCCCAGTCCGCATCCCAACAAGGATATCAATGTGCCGGACATGAGTCCTCTCGAGCGCTTTCTGGGCTGCGTTTATATGAGAAGGCAATTGCACAGAAACATCCAGAGCGAGGAGACGCTTACGGCCCTGAACAGCACCGAACCGGGAGTGGTGCTCTTCAAGGTGGATGGACTGCAGTGCCAGGTGGTGCTGAATCAGATGCACATGCAGACGCTGCACCTCAAAATCTCGCAGCTGCCGCCTATGCCCGACAAGCTTCCGCCGCCGTTCCAGCTTAGCCAGGACGATCTGCTGGTAATAGAGCAGTACTTCGACACCAGAGTGGCAGCTCCACCATACCGACCCAATTCCCTGCACAGCATCTGCCGACTGCTGAACCTGCCCGCCCAGGTACTTAAGGATTTCGTACAGATCATGCGTCTGGAGTTGAAGCCGGAACTGGGTGGCGACCAGCTGAAATGGACGGTGCAGATGTGTTTGCGCATGCCGCCCTCGGCGGTTCCCATTGTGCCCAGCGGCAATGCCTGCGTGGTTCTGGGTCGCATGAAGATACTGTTCTTCCTGCAGATCACGAGGATACCCTATGGCGCGGGCAAGGACTGGAAGGACAGCCCCTCTCTGGTGCTGCCCATCGTGTACGACATTCAGACGAACGTCACCCAGCTGGCGGAACGCACTGGACAAGTGACCTCGCCCACAATGACCGCTGCCAGCACTCTCCTTCGACGCTTTGCCGAGTTCAATGCGCAACAGAATCAGTGTACGCTCTTCCCAGCCATTACGGATCTGCTGACGAACCTTCAGCTGGCTGCAGAGATGCCCCAGCCCCCACCCAACCAATCCATAGGACCTCCCGTGGGCGTGGGCGTCGGAGTAGGTGTGGGTGTCGGAGTGGGAGTGGGATCCAGCCCGAATCCGATGATGCCCATGCAGCAGCTGCCCCAGCAAGTGGGACCCCAGGGTCCAGTGGGTCCCGGCGGCTACCCGCAGATGGGCCCCAATCCCGGTGGCCCGCAGTGATGAAGGCGCAAGCGCCGCGCCTCCTCGCAGCAGCCGTGAGCTGAAGGCCTGTGAGCTGGCAACCCGGAGCGGCGATCGATTATTTATTAGCGAGTTTATTGGATAAGCGTACACAGAACACCCTCTGCTCTGGGGTGAGTCGATTTGGAATCTCAAAAATCGTAGCAAAAAAAGTGATCCATGATCAGTTTCGAGGTTTTCCAAAACTGCGCATAGTTCGCTTTCTGTCCCTATAATTTTGTAGATTGTTTGCATACCAAGAAATCGATCCACTCCACGGTACACTATTTAGTTAATGTTAGTATTTAATTTGTATTTGGCAACTCCACAAGTGCCTGGAATTGTCAAATAATATTAAATGGAAAGTCTGCTTTGGTAGTCCTTAAGATTCCATTTCACCAATATTGAGGTGTTCCTGTTGACCAAGGACCAAACATATGTATGTATTTTGCATGCGGAAAAACCTGAAAGCAGCCACCTGACCCAAGAAAAGAAAGGCACGACATCTCATTTGGGGATCAGGTGCTATATACATTTTATTGTGCTGTACTCCCTGAAATATTGGGCATGAAAACAAATTACACATCCAAGATAATAAATTGTTAACTAAACAGTGCGGCTAGGTATGTAATAAAAAGATTATCGATTATCTATACATGTAGCTGTGAGTCATACTTCTGTTCTGTTTTCCTTTGCTAATTTGTTTCTATCACATAGTTCGATTGCAGATGCGCCAGAGTTGCTGCCATGCGGACTCCGAAGGAGCAGATGGCAGCGGAGATCTGGCCAAATGCTTTGTGACTATTGCACCGAGGTTAGTTTGTGTTGTCGTCTATCTAATAATCTATCTACTCCCGTTGGTTTTTGGCTTGGTTGCTGATCGCGCGGGGAGTCGTTCCCGTTCACTGCTGATTCGCAATCTGCGTGTTGTCCATCTGGGTGGTCAGCTCGGATATGCCCTCCTCCTCCTCAGAGATGAGGTCCACCCAGTAGCGGAGCTTCTTGCTGCGCAGGTAGCTGGCGGAGTTGTCGAAAACCACCGTGTCTGAGGATGATTTCCACATGCCATTAATAGAGGTAACCAAAGCGAAGCCAATTTTACTCACAAGTGGTGTTGGGTCGCGTGGAGATGTAGCCAATCTCGTCCATCTCGTTGGAGTACACTGTACCCAGGGGCACCTCGCTGCGCTTCTCGCCCGTCTTGTCGTCCACGCTGTAGATGCCGAATTTGATGTCGTAGTCGAAGGTGCGGAACTCCCAGGAGAGGATCTTCTGCTCCTCAACGTTGACCTTGAAGTGCAGCTTCAACTTGTCGCCCTTGGGAACCTGGGCCTCCACAAAGTCTCGGTCGCTCTGCTGGCTGCTCTGATCAATGTAAAGCTCCTCCGGCAGCTTGCCTCCCCAGACCATCAGTGCCTTGCACTGGGGATCTCCGTTCCTGTCCACCATCTCGCCGCCCCAAGCCTTCGGGAACGCCTTTCGGTTCACATGGGAGAAGAGCTGCTCCTGCCAGCGGTCCACTCCGGATTTGTAGATCACGATCTTGCTGGTGGTGTTCTCGTCGAGGAATTTCTTCACAATGTTGAACGCCACCGAGAAGAGCTTGGGCGCGTTGATTATGTAGCACATCTTGAGCAGCTCCGGGAAGTTGGCCTCGTACTGCTTCACCGTGGAGATCACACATTCGGCAGCCGGTCGCCAGGCGTACTGCTTCAGGTTCACGTCCTGCATGTCGAAAAATACGACCAGCTGGCGGGCCCGCCATCCGTGCTTTTGGCTCTGGTCGTAGGCGATCTTCATGAAGCGCTCGAGCAGCAGGACCAGGTACTTCTGGAACTCAAAGCGCGTGACGCAGTGCATCATGCCCCACATGTCGAAGTTGGCGAAGGGGCAGACCAGCACTGAAAGACAAAATGCAGTTGCTTAGTTTTTGGCTTTGCTTGTGCAGGCAGAGCATTCGCCACCCACCCGGAGATCCTTCGTTGTCGTAGCCCATGAGGCCGTAGGGCAGATACTCCTGCAGTGCCTTCGGTGGATCCCACTTTTCGATGTTGTCCACATTCCACATGGCGCGGGTTTTCAAACTCTACGAGGTGAGAATACAGTTTAACCTGTTAGGTAATTTATTTAATACTTTCTGTACTCACAGCTCTCAGCATTTTCTCCGCGGCTTCCAGATTCCATTTGCGAGCTGTTTTTGAACGAAGGATATATAGTTAATGCAGCTGTTTTCTTCCTAATCATATTGAGACACCAACTCACCTCTCAGCCAGCGCACCAAGAAGTAGTCGTCGTGGGTTCCAACCAAAGCATCATCCATTTGCTTGCGAAACTGTAAGTGCAATAAATGTGTTTTTATCAATTTTCCATATGAATCATTATACTCGAGCACGATATTTATGATTCATATTGTGTAGTGATATATTTTCTAAGCTTCAAAATTATCGTAAGGAAACTTTCACTTAAAAAAGCGCCGATCAAGTTTAAAATTCGTAAGAGCTGCTGTAACATTTATAACATATATGTGAACTAACTGATAGTTTATCATATGCACAAAGCTGATAGTTTTTGTGTGATTGTTTTTAAACCGAAGGCTGGCACAATTATATTATATCTTATATGACTTGTTGACTTAAAGCCGAAGTTGCATGGATTACGCGGCCAGCATGCAAGCGATAAATGTTGTTGCATTGATTGTGCCCTCTAACTTGTGTAGATGGAGGAATCTGGCAGCAGTTCGCCTGCTTTTTCAATCTGATTTATAATCCAATTTGTTTAAATGATTTATTTACCGAAGGCCGTGCAGAGGGGCGGCTTTTGACAGCTTGGTTGAAGAGCTGAGCGGGTAAATTTCCTATAACCAAACGATAACGTTTATTGGGTCCGCTAGGAGTGCATATTGGCCTTTATTGGCTTAATTGCCATTAATTCGTATTGGCCTTGTGCCGACTGCCAAATTCGGATGTTGTTAACGAAAGCTGCTGTCGCACAGCAGCTGATATCAAAAGTTCGCCTAATCGGCTGCATTTGTTTTGTGAGGCAGCAACACCTTTGAGGCCTTTTACTAGCTTATTTGTCGGGTAAACATCACGTACTTCAATTTGCATTCGATCAAGTGCATATTTAGCACCATTTCAATCATTTAATTGACTCGCGTCTAGGTTGCTGCCAACTGCTGAGTCACTCGGCTCAGGCCAAAACCACTTGGAATTCAATAACGAGGCCGTCTCACCGCTAACCGCTTCTTTTATTTGGTTTTTCAGTCTTTAGTTTTCGCTTTTCGCTGCTTGGCTGCAAACTTGGCCAAAGACCAAGCTGTGGCTAATAGCCGACTTTGGGTGTCATTAGCGCCGAGTTCTGTTGGCTTCAGCTGTGTACTTCCTCGTTTATCGGCCGTAAAACTGGGTTTTTGGCCACTTGCTTTGTTCTTCCACTTCTTGGTCTGACTTTGACTGCGTTTTCGAGACCGACTAAAAGGTTAATACCCATTGAGCCACTCGAAATTGAGTCTATATTTGGCGTGGACGCCTTGTACTTTAGTCTGCCGCTTGAATAATGCTTACCTAGCATTTAACGCTGGCCAATGCTGCATTCGTTTGCATTCCGCTGGAAGTCCAGAAGACTACGAAGTTTCTCTTCGTTCTTTTCGGAATTTAGGCAGTTCAAGACACTGCGCTAAAACCTGTTGGCTAGGTGATTTATGCTAATTGTGCTAAATTTGTACGTAGATCTCCACGGGTCTAAGGGTCGATCCCTGGGTGATTTCGTTCTGGATCAATGCTCCTCGCTTAACGACTGGGTCGCGTTTATCATTAAACCCTTCATGTGTATTCATATGTATAATCGCAGTCATTGTCATGAAATGGCAGTCGCACTTAGCATTCCGCAATTAAGAAAGGGCAGGGGTCGCTCTTAATCCGCTCATTATCATGGACTGCGCTTAATTACCCATTTTATTCATTTATTTACTTGCAAGGATGCAGATTATTTCTCTTATTACATACAATCACCTAAAATGCATACTACTTATTTAGGTAGTTTATCTACAAGTGTTCATTTTCGTTTCGCTTGCTATTAGCTACGCCTTTTGAGGCGTTTTCCAGCTGCCCGTTATATGTGTATTTTATTTATTTGCATATTTTCATTGAACTGATCGGTTTGTGTGTCACCATTCGACTTCAGCTGAGTTTTTGGTTTCGCAAGCGGTTTTCAGTGTGCCGGCCAAGAACTCGTGAGAGTCAACAATGCGCAACTGCAGAAACACTCATCAGTGGTGAAGTAAGAAGGCGTTTCGAGGGTTTAAATTTGTACTACTTATAACTTGCTTTTTTAACTTGCTATTTTGAGCACATTGCACTTTGGGTTTTCCTCTTACATGAATGTCAATCTGTCTATGTTGTAAGTAGCCCCCTATTTCCTTGACTACAGCTCTGGCTAGAGAATACGTATACAGAATATGTTGCAGTTGATTCTGCTTTGGCAGCTGCTCTTGCCGCAGTTTGAAAACAGTGGTTCGGAGTCTGATAAATTTGCTAGCATTTAAAATGGGAAGTCAAGCGAGCAATTGCTCATTTCCATAACCAGCCATCAATATGCTTCGCTGACTGCACGATGACTGTTCTGTTTTAGTTTGCTTAGAATACTCCGATCATTGCGAAACTCATAAAGGCACTTTGTTGCATACTACATTGAATCAAAAATGTTGCTGAAATTATTGTTGGTTCGTGAAGGCGAGTCAATAAAACAAGACTATTTTGCTTGGAAAATATCTGCTGCTTTCTCATAAATTAATTGATAACCTATCGATCATAGAAAGTATAATAAAGGCTTAATGATTATTTCGGTGTGTTTAGCCTACCAAATTATCTTGAAGCTGTATAAATTTCTCTTTGCCAAAACACGTTTACCAGAAACTAAGTTATTTTGTTAGTTTCACCACTATATTCTCGAAATGAATCCCTGGACAAAAACGATTACTATAAAGCGGGTAAACACTGCCTCGTTAGGGAGATTTATCTGCATTCTCCCCCTGGCAAGCATACCCAAGCAAATACCGGGTATTTCCCCCTAAGAGACCCCAGAGAAATGCTTACCTTCTCCAATATGGCGCGTTGTTCTTCGCTGATTTCGGGCAGTGGACCTGACATGTTTTTGGTTTGTTTGTATCTTGACTATGGCGTATATTAGATATTTGGCTTTATTGACCGAGCGGCGTCTGAACGTTGGCAATTTTGTAAGCCGGGCACACACAATCACATTAAGTCGATGATATGGGACCGAATGCGGATTTCTTTTCTTTTCTGTTCACACGCAAAATTATAAAGCTCTTGCTATGGTTGTTCGGTTTTTGGCAGCTGCGGCTCAGAAGAAGAGATAACAATAAAAACTTTCTACTATTATTTAGCCGTTACGTTAGCGCTTTTAGCCGCGCACATTATTTCCAGCGCAATTATTCTGCGTTTTATTTTTGTTCGTCTCGTTTCGTAGTCTCCACGGACAGGCTAATTACAATAATGCCAACTTGGAAAATACCTCAAACTTGGCCCAAGGCGAGTGTCGCACGCAATTGGTTAAACAAAATAACTGAAGTCCGTACTCGCAGCCGTGTTTGCATTCAGAATGTTTTGCTTTCGTTAGTGATAAAGCGCCGAGGTGAGGTGCAGTATATCTTCGCCTCTATTCCACGAGTTTCCGATCCGTTCCGTTCCGAGGGTGGCGAGCAACTGACGCCACTGGTTCCACCGCGCCACTTAAAAGTGGATGAAATGAACGGAGAGGAAACAGAGAGACTGCTAGCCAAGAGAACGTACTCTTTGAGCCAGAGAAACTTTGAACGGCGGACGTCTCGACTGCGCGATACTTGGTCATACGTCTACATACGTCCATGCTTCATAAGGTCAAAAATACCATAGGTGTGGAAATATTCAATTGACCTAATCCAATCTCTACCTAGATCTTCTTTGTTTTCTCTGGACTTCAACTTTGCTTATACTAGAATTGTAAATTCACCTGATCCGATTGGGCCACTTACCAATCAGCTGAAGCACTCTTCAACTGATAACGATACTTTTTGCACGCCAAATATAAACATATGTTTGGCAGGATAAGATAGGGAAGCCAAGTGGCTTTGCCCCCATTGAAAGCGTTTTATTTTTTACGAGTTTGTTTACCACTTTTAACTCAGATTCTGACAAAAAGCCGTTCGAAACCATGCCCATAGGGTGATATCGTGATATGGTGATTTATCCTAAAAAAATGAAGAGCACATTATTTCCAGCGCAATTATTCTGCATTATCGTTTGACTCCTAATTAAATTATGACAAAAGAACCAAATTCTTGTTTATTTTTAAATATGTACGTTCATTTTTCCGTTAAAAAAAGTATATCTAATGTGTACAAAATGGGTAATATTGATCCAAATATGGTTTGTACATCGTTTAAAAAATTTTCCCCTTTTTTTAACTTTTTTAAAAATATTTCGAAATCGACCAAAAAAAATTTTTTTTTTGTAAATGAGCCAAAAATTGATTTGTGTTATTAGTACAGTTAGTCTATGGCAAATGACAGTCATTTTTGTTTTTTTATTTTCATTTTGCATATATCCTCATTTTGCTATATGTTGATTTTTGGTTTTAAAAAAACAGTAATTTGCTTACAGCATTGAAAATATTGGCCCAAATCTTGAATGTAATACCTTGTTCGACCCGTATTAAAATTCCGGTTTGATCCACACTATTGGCGTTAACATCCTAAAATTTTCAATTTTTTCGATTTTTTTTTTAAATCATGATGTTACCCCTTATAAAAATTGCAAGAATTTAAAAAAAAAAATTTTTTTCAAATCACTTGATTTGTGTTATTAGTACAGTTCGTCTGCTGTAAATAACAGTAATTTTTGTAGCTTTCTCACATTTTTTGACAATGCTACAACGAAAAACCCGTAAAAATATACCCTCATTTTGCTATATGTTGATTTTTGGTTTAAAAAAACAGTAATTTGCTTACAGCATTGAAAATATTGGCCCAAATCTTGAATGTAATACCTTGTTCGACTCGTATTTAAATTCCGCTTTGATCCACACTATTGGCGTTAACATCCAAAAATTTTAAATTTTTTTCGATTTTTTGAAAAAAATCATGATGTTAACCCTTATAAAAATTGCAAAAATTGAAAAAAAAAAATTTTTTTCAGAACACTTGATTTGTGATTTGTGTTATTAGTAGAGTTCGTCTGCTGTAAATAACAGTAATTTTTGTAGCTTTCTCACATTTTTTCACAATGCTACAACGAAAAACCCGTAAAAATATACCCTCATTTTGCTATATGTTAATTTTTGGTTTAAAAAAACAGTAATTGGCTAACAGCATTGAAAATATTGGCCCAAATCTTGAATGTAATACCTTGTTCGACTCGTATTTAAATTCCGCTTTGATCCACACTATTGGCGTTAACATCCAAAAATTTTAAATTTTTTTCGATTTTTTGAAAAAAATCATGATGTTAACCCTTATAAAAATTGCAAAAATTGAAAAAAATTTTTTTTTTCAAATCACTTGATTTGTGATTTGTGTTATTAGTACAGTTCGCCTGCTGTAAATAACAGTAATTTTTGTAGCTTTCTCACATTTTTTGACAATGCTACAACGAAAAACCCGTAAAAATATACCCTCATTTTGCTATATGTTGATTTTTGGTTTAAAAAAACAGTAATTTGCTTACAGCATTGAAAATATTGGCCCAAATCTTGAATGTAATACCTTTTTCGACTCGTATTTGAATTCCGCTTTGATCCACACTATTGGCGTTAACATCCAAAAATTTTCATTTTTTTTCGATTTTTTGAAAAAAATCATGATGTTACCCCTTATAAAAATTGAAAAAATTGAAAAAAAAATTTTTTTTTCAAATCAGCTGGAAAGTGACACGGATAGTTAGTACAAACAATCAGCTGCCAAAAACACTTTTTGTGACACTTTTAACTGGTGTTATCGTAGTTTTTAGGTTTTTTTAACATCAAAAAATAGTTTTTTGCAGAATTGGTACAAATCAGAGTTATCGTACTTCGTTCGAGTCGTAATTATATTTCCAATTTTGTCGTTCGATAAATTTCTGGTTGTTGTCTGAGATAATTATGTGTGTGGTGAATTTCAATGGGTTGGCGCTCGATAGGTGAGAAAGGCTGGTTTAAAATCCTACTATACATATCCCATTTTCGATGCTTCACAACCCATTCCAAGTAAAAGTCGGACTGGTTTGGTTTTACTAATTTAATGTGTGTACAATCAATCACCAGACAACTGCGCCGTCAGATATCTTCTTTTGGAAGTCGTAGAGACTAGGAAAGACATGATCTCGGTCGATGTCCTCGCCGTATTTCTTGACTAGATATGCGTAGCTCTTCTCGTGCACCAGCGCCGAGTGCCAGCCCAGTTCCTTGGCGGCCAGGTAGTCAGTGGTTGGTCCGTCCCCAATGTGAAGGCACTCCTCCGGCTTGAGGTTCTTCAGACCCGACTTCTCCATCGCCTTGTGAAAGATTTGGGGGTCGGGCTTCTCGGCCTTCACCTCGTAGGAGTTGACCGCGAAGTCCAGGTACTGATCCAGCTTGGTGTTCTGCAGCAGGGTCGTCAGCCGAGGATCGAAGTTGGCTATCACACCCAGCTTGCATTTATCCGGCTTCAAGTCCTTGCGGAGCTGCTGCAGGAGTTCCACGCTGCCGTTGCACGGCTGCCAGCAAATGGACGTTTTGTAGAGCTCAATTAGGTGGTTGGAGAAGTTGTGCAGCTTCTCGTCGGGTATGGCCGCTCCACTCTCCGAAAAAGTTCCTGCAGGTAAAACGTCAGTTTGTGGTTAGTGTTTATGTATCTATGAATGTATCAACCTAAAACCACTTGGGTGATGTGAAATAGAGTTTATAACAGTTCTAATCAACAGAAATTAGCAGGTCCAAAACGCTAGTGTGATCTTTGCATTAGAAGAGCAGTTTCATTAATCTCTAATCTCTCTAATCCATCGTTGTTGACGTCTTCAACTTTTAGCTAATGTGCCTAATGTAAAGTTTTCAAATAGATTTATCGTTAAGTTTTGTACTTGAAATCATAAAAATAGTTGTGTCATTTGCTACCTAGTAAGAGGTGTTCCTAGCAATTTTTGTTGAGAGAAGTTCTAGTAGCGATTGCGCCAAATGCACTTTGGAACAGCCCAGAAGTTTATCACCGAGCAGACAAACACTTTGCGGGCACTCACCTGCTATCAGCTTACGCCACCATTGCTGCCACTCCATCTGGGGATTGGTGTTGCGCCCAAAGTTGGGATAATCACGGTTCATCTTGTACCTGAAAAGACGCATCGGTTAGTTGGAGCATACACCACATGGTGACGGTGCCTCCTACCAGTTGGCCTTGAAGTTCTTGGCCAGCTCGTTGTTGTCGCACCGGGCTCCGAAAAGGGCTCCAATCTCGCCATACTGCTTGCCCTTGGAGGTTCGGAATTGGAGCAGGGTGTTGGTCACATCGAAGGTTATGAGGCGAAAGCGGCTGAGGCTGCGCATCTTGCCTGGAATCTCTGAATCTGAATCTCTGCCGCTCGAGAACTCTTGACTTTCGACTCTCGTCGAACGTTGGCGACTGAAATCAGCCGGCGTACTACGTGAGCTGGGGGCATTCTGTTATTGTTTTGTACGAAAGCCGATCCGCTTCGTTATCACCAGCAGCTGCTGCCCCCAGATTCCGATTCCGAGGGCTTCGTATGGAATCGAATCGAATCGAATCGGACCTCGGAGCATCGAAACATCCATACATATGTTTGCTTGTGCCGAACCGGATTAGAATGGCACTTTAGCTCCACCGAGTGCTGCGGTTATCTCTGGTTTCATGTTGTCAAATTAGTATCGATCTGCAATCTGCACTGATTACCCGGCGAAGCAAATACTGTTAACGAGATAAGAACAATTTTCTTATCGATTTCTTAGTCTTTTCATAGTGTTCTTTGTAAACAATGCGCTTTCTCCTCAGTGTTGAGCAATTCCATGATTCCATAATTTTCATCTAACGAAAGAACCTGCAAAATGTTTATTTCATTTTAATTCAATTCAGTTGAATTATAGAAAATAAACAAAGCAACAAAATTTCAAATATTCAAATGATTTGATTTGTATGCGCCACCTGGCGGTCTACAGTCGGTGGGAGTCTCGGCTTACTTTTTCTGCTAACTACAGAGCTCTGTTAAAACTGTAGTCACACTATTTCCAACTAGATGGCGCCACGGCACAAAATGTTTGGCGGCAAATTCAAAAACGATTTGTCCAAACAAGTCGAACAGGCCCAAGTAGTGAAAACTAATTATAATTTGAATTTCCTTTGTTAATTGGTTACAATTTGTTAGTTGGTACAATTCACACGAAGTTGTGTTCCCTTATATGATTTTATCGGTGATAAAAGTAACTTAATTATAAAAGAGTTTCGGCATTCCACAAATTACTTTGGGTGCACCCTGTCTGCGATGTCATTGGCCAATTCCATTCGATTTGGCTATAAATAATACACGAATTTAACGACTTGAGGTCGGATTTCTTTGGAAAGGGATCCTGAAATTCCTTGCATTCTGCTTGTCAAATTGTCGGTTTCTTTTTGTCTTTCCTTTTTTGATCGGTATTTAGGAATGCTGGACTTTGTCCGAAATGCCATAACTCGAACTGCCGGGAAAGGGAATTTCCCAACAAAAAAGTAGTCAGAAAATTTGATAATACAAATAATTCTACACTTTTTGGGTAAACAAAAAAAGGATTCTGAGCCTTGGAAAGCGATCTTTAAATGTATCACGAAGTCGACCAGCCCTGATTCATAGAATGTAAATTATCCGCATTTCGGATTTTCCCGAGTCTGCCGCGGTCTGCAGACCTTTTGGAGGTGCAACTCCGCTGATTACCACCTACAAAGCTTGTTTGCTCTGCTCTACGCCACCTTATCGCCGCAGCCCAACTTGGCTCTCTGGCGGTTGCAGAAAGCGAGCTGAAAAATAACAAAAACGGCAACATTCAGTTACTGTCCAACTTTCAACAAAAACTTTCCCAAGAAAAGTAACCAACCGAAGGCGAGTCAACGACTCCCCTGGAATTTCGTGTTGGCCCTTTTCGAAATGTGTCTGGCTTGGAAGTCGGGGCCAAAGCTCCTCCGCCTCCTCCGCCCCCAGTTGCCCCGAAACCCCCTTCGGATACCCCCATCGCCACCCGGTCCCTCGATCCTCGTGCAACTCCGGCTGGCTGCCTGACTGCCTTTTAATATTATCTGCACTTTGGGTCTTTGGCTGCCGCCGCTTTTGTTGTTGCTGTTGTTGTTGCTGTTCTTGCCGCTTTGATTGGTCGTTTTAACCTGTTTGCGAATTTCTACCATGTTAATAAATAATTTTTAGTGGAGTTTTTAGAAGCTGCAGCAGCAAAAGTACCGCACCAGCAGCGCCAGCGTCATTACACTGATATAAAATATTTGCAAACCAAATAAAAAATACTCCCATGTTCATTGACTAACAATTTATTCTTAGTTCATATGCATGCTACGTAAGAGAGATACAATTTATGAAATTTAATGTAAAGGTGCCAAAGTCGTAAAAGTATAAGCTCAACCAAGCAAATATTTTGAAAGACCTGCAGATTGATCACTAGTGTTTTTGACAGTGCACATCAGCTAATCATTCTGCATAGGCCACCTTTTGTTTTGCACACACAATCAACGATTTTTATGATGTTAATTTGTAATTCATTTTCAAACAATTATTATTCAAAAAACATTTTGAATGAAAACAACACAGTGAGAATATTTTCTAGCCGTGCATAAAAGCTAAACCCTGTGCTGCAGGCAGCTTCTCCTGTTTCTCCTGGCACGACAACTCCTCATCTCATCGGAGTTGGGTCGTCGTCGTCGTCGGATTAGGTTTGGCTGCCTCCACTGCAGCCACTTCTTTCTGCTCTTCGGATTCGATTCTGTTTGGTTCTGTGTGACTTGGAATGCAGCCAAACCGCCATGGGATCCGCCATCCTGCGTCTGCTCGCCCACTAGAATGGCCAGAGCCACCTCCCCAACTCGCCAGCTCTCCTTTTCGGACGCCACAGCTCTAGGAGAAGCCGGGTTCATTAAGTAGCCGAGGATCTAGTGAAACAGCATTTTCGGGATAATTTGGGTCACAGGAATATAAACTGAAGGGTGCACTTTATGTGCTATGTATGAATGTGTCCTGTTAATTTCTAACTGAGATTGGACACACTATTCCTATGACTCTCCCTGTTATTAGGGTAAAGGGTATTTATTTCGATGAAGGACACTCTTTACTCTGGTCTATGACCGTCCGTTTCGCATTCACAGCTCCAAGCTCGTGGAGTGCGACAACACCATGGTGTTCTTGTTTGAAATTCCTGGGCTGCTTTTTGGTTTATTTTGTGTTTTGCTCAGCGCTTCGCATCGTAGTCGTCCCCCGTACCCATCCCCATTCCCAACCCCATCTCCATCCAGAATTCCCCGCTTGGGGCCCCCATCTCATCCTCATCTTCGCCTTCCGTATTGGTCAGCATCTTCGCCGTCGTCTGGCTGGGATGTGGATATGGTTGTGGCTGTGGCTGTGGCTGGGGCTCGTTTGTTAAATGTTTGGGTTTTGTTTGAGTTTATTGAGTGAATTCCTGGAAAAACGCAGGAATTTGTCTTTGGTCTTTCTGTTGTGTTCGGCTCTGTTCTTTTCTTTTCTTTCTGTTCTGTTCTGTTCTGCCTGATTCTGCTTTTCTTTGCTGCCAGGTCCGAATGCACTTGGTGCATAAAAATCGCTTACGGAGTTTTAAACTTTTGGGCCCAGCATCGGTTTCCCAAAGTTGTCTGTACGGGTTTGCCGTGATAAAGGATGGACAGGTGATTATGACTTTTTTAGCGGGACACCCAATTACGTGCGATCGGCAGGAAATCGGTGAAGATCAACGGGCCTAGCCCCTTTGCCCTGTTTGCCAAAATGCCTCTGACTCTGATTCTGGTTCTTATTCTGATTCTGATTCTGATCCTGATTCTGATGGGAACCGAAGTCGGGAGTGAAATACGATACTTCGGGGTGGTGCTGTTGGGTTCGGGATTTCAACCGTGTCCTATCGAACTTGTTATTTGTGTGACAAAGGTGCTTCTGTTTTTCATAATTTTCTTAGAACTCCGAGCTTGAATAGTTCCTCAATTTATTCACACTCGTTTATTTTGAAAGCGCACTGGGCGTATGATTCGTTAGTTCTGAAATTGTAAATTCGTCTTACATCTTCGATTTCAACTGACCTATTTTAGCAGTGACAAATCTGTGTTTATTTTAATATAATGTTGTAAACACGCGATTTATCACCATTGCTTGCATTTTATTACACCGAAATGTGGGCTACAGCGCTCTGAAAAAGAGAAATTCTTTCAGAAGCTGCATGCGGAACAGCACGCAGAAGATCATTCCAATGGAATCCTCCCCTGTAAATAAAGATAGAAAGTTTTTCAGTTCCGGTATGCCCGAAATAGAACATTCCCGCTGGAGTTTCACCTTTGCGCGTATTTTCTCTCCCCCATGTCGGCTCGGATTTAGTGTTCCTAAATCACGGGGAGATCTCTTCAGCGTTTCTGTAGGGAATCTGGGCAAATGGCGGGATGAGGTGGGTGGATCCGCGTGACTGGGGTGCTCTTCCGGCAGTTGGAGCCCTCAATGGCTTCCAGAAATACGGGAGGGAAATGGATGGAATCTTGGGAGAAATTTGCTATTTTCGACCGATGATTGAGTTGTAGTGATTGGGCCATAGTTATGGTTTTTTTTGGTTCTTCGGCAATCCATCCCCCATATGGATGAACGGAATGCATATGTGCCACAACAGCATCTTTACGATTCAGTCAGCCGCCCTGCACTTGGGAAAAAGTTTTAGGACGATGCCCAAGTAAATACAAAACAAATAAGTTTTAATTTTAAATTTCTCTTGTCAACTTATCTCGCTACATGGCTCACATTTGGCTGCATTTGTGTTCTTAAATGTTTAAGTATCGTTATACTATTGTGTTTTTCCCTACAACATCTCCGTAGGCTCGTAAGAGCGTTCTATTCAAGTTTTCCCATCTGCACAAGCATCAAACTATCATCCGAAAATGGGGGACGCCTACGTCGCATTCCTGCGCCGACCGAGGGGCACTCGCCAACCCGACGGCGTTGGGCATTCCCAGACATTGCTCCCCGAAAGCGAAGAAATACAAAGGCATTTGGAGTGATGGCCAAGCGCCCCCCACCCGAGGAACTTTAAATAAAATTTGCGGGGGAGGAAGCGGAGGGAGGTGTACGTCTTGCCCGGACATTTGTACATTTGTTTGCCCCTTGTAGGATTCCCCTTTGTTATTCTATAAACAGATAAACGTGTCTAGAAGAAACCATCACCTCGGACTGCATTTTAAACATTTATTTTCCAAATTCAAGTTTTTCGTTCGCTTTTAGTTTGAAGGCGCTGAATCACCGAATTTCCTGAGTTTGGCTAAACCCATTAAGGCAGACTTTCTAGTAGAGTTTTTCGCTACTTTTAGCCGACGAAAAATGAGCTGCTCGCTCCAAGTTTCTAATTTGGTGGGCAAGTGAATCTGAATTCAAATTTAGGAGTGATCTGGTATGCACGTAAATAGTCGTCACATTTTCCTTTGCAGTGCGCTGGGTTGCGCTGTAATTAAAATATAGTATTTATATTTCCAAGGCATATC